ACATACCTCGCCTTCAGGGAGAGCGCTTGGGCGTGGATTTCGAGAGGGGCATACATTCTTTTGGGTTACACTTTCTTTCATTATGCTCACGTTTGAATTGAAAGTGATTTGTGATAAAGTTGGTTTTGAAGCGACTCAATCATGTTAAAAGAATTAATTCCATTAATTTGAACTTTTTTGTGTTCAAGAAACATATCCACAAATTTCACACAATAACCCTTTTACTGCTAAAATCTGCTCTGATATGCCAAAAATGTATGTGTTTCCTCAGATATCGTGACTCTCACGACACAATTCGCTTAATGTTTGAATTAATAGAATCTCATAAAACATGAATATATCTAGAACTGATGCAGGGTGTTGTGTCACGCTGCTGTATTTCTTAGTGAAGTGAGCGCGCCTGCGCGAATGTTTGTGTGGCTGTGTTTTGTTGTGTTTCCGTGGGTGTGCATACGTGTACAGTATCTTATTTCCTTTCAGTCGGGGACTGCTTCTGTGACAAGTGCAAAGTAACGGAGCGTGTCTCGTTCAAGAAACCGTAAGGCCACTGTTGATTTTTTATTTATTTTTGATGTGTTTAACTCTGTAATTGAAGTAATTGTCTGTCCAGTTCAGCTGAATTCCTTCAATCCTTTGTCATTATTTGAATTTTCGATTTCCTCGAACTTGTTTTGTATTCCTAAAAATGACAAAATCAGGAACATGTAACTGCAACTTTCACCTGTAAAGCCGTGGACACTCCACCTCACATCAAAGGCAGGGTGGGCGTTAAATAAATTGAGTGGAACATCGAATAGGCTACTTATTTTGTGTGTAAGTTATTTCTTGAAATGTGTTCATTTACAAAGACTTGACATTTTTATTGCAGTATATACACATCAACAACCTATCGTCAAAGATCAGTAGAATCGGGTGTTCCGAATTTTCGATTTCCTCGAACTTGTTTTGTAGTCCCAAATGACAAAATCAGGTACATGTAACTGCAACTTTCACCTGTTGACACTCCACCACACATCAAAGGCAGAGTGGAACATCTTAAGGCTAATTATTTTGTGTGTATGTTATTACTTGAATTGAATTGACATTTTTATTGCAGAATATGGAAATATACAACGTATTCTCAAAGATATACCACAAGTTGTGGCTTTTGGAGATTGGAAAGGTGTAACAGATACCGGTGAGATTGTACAAATGTTCACTTTGAAATCATTTCATCAAATTCCGGGTTAGAATAGATCCAAAGCAGTCTATGCTTGTCGTAAGTGGCAACTAAATGTATATAGTGATAGATCAGGTGTCTCGGTTGATAGCGTGTTATCGTCCCACTACCCAGACATCGTGAGACGTTGTTCGCAATAACCAGCACTGGTTTGCCTGGTCAAGTCTCAGTTGTTTACAGGCCGTAGTCACATTGTTGAAATACATAAGACGGCGTTAAACAATCAAATGTAATTATCCCAAGTGAATGAGTGTAGCTTAGATATAATATAAGTCATTCATCATATGTTATTTACTTGCACGTGTGATGATTAATAATATTCACTTATGAATCATGCGATCGATTGCATCACATGTTATTAATTTCAACTTGGCACAGGTGAAATAGTGTAGAAAACATCTAATTCATTTTCATTTATTTATCCTACAGAACCGGCTATAGGAGAACTTGCACTGGCTATGCCATTGGTTACAAGAATGTCGTGTCTTGTCGACCCGGTTGCACGTGTTCAGGGCCTTAAGGCAAACCCCAACTCCGTGACGGATCCCAAATGGTTAACTGAATTTTCTGGAATCAAAGCCATACCGAACCAGATCGTGAATACACCCTGCCTTGTCCTGTCACCAACATTCTCTACAAGATCAACATCAAAGTTGTAGTGCAGTATAGAATTTTAGAAAATATTTATACATATAATGATAAAATGGTCGTAAAGACAATGATTTTGTGAAAGTTATTCCAAAGCGTTCAGACCAGAGAAACAATTTACAACATAGATGTACAGACACCCAAAGTAGAAGACATGACATGTCAATATTTTTATTTTAAGTGTTTAAACATATTATTTTTCTAGTTTTCTATTAAAAGACTGCAGTGTCAGGTTCATATCGTGTTTGTCTAATTTCTGTATACAACGACACGTGCATGTTCCCGTACAACGCACCATATCAGTATTTATACGGTGCTTCCCGGATGAACATCGATAATGGGTATTACCCGTCTCGACAAGATTGCCTCTAATTTGGCTATTGGATAGTAAAGAACAATGCAGTAGTCTGTAAGATCTTCACTGAAAGCTTAATCCATTATTCAAAATGGCCTATTAGGCTTTGCTTCCCTAATTGTAATTATATGCAAATATATCATGATTGATTTTACGGGGATTGTAGTGTTGTGAAGTACCAACCTGATTTAAGTCGGTTCCTTGTTTAACGCCACACTCAGCACTATTCCAACTGTATGACGGCGGTCATTGGCAATGGAATGTTATTTGTGATGCTGAACCGTACACGGGCCACTTTTAAATTTGAGAGATCACATTTTAAATCGGGGACACTGAAGTTCAATATTTCAAAGTGGGCCAGTAGTCTCTATTTCTAACTCACACACTCAAACGTGATTTTAATGCTCACATAGCTGAATATCGGGTTTGAAGTCATAGTTCAATTGTATTAGATAAGAAGGTATGAGGTAGAGGTTATTAATGTCCGACTTTTATGTAACTTTTAGTTTGCGAGAAACATACAGGCCTCAGAGATCTCCTGTCAGGTTAAACAGACTATCATGACTTAAATAGTACACCACGTTGGAGGAGTTTCGATATTGAGCGGAATTTGCAGGCTCGCACCGTAATGTAGCTTTTACTCCTCATGATCTGGTACAGTACCTGAGTTGTGTGTCCTAGGTAACAAGCATAAAAAACAACACGTCCTACAGGTCTCACAGCGATTGTGTACATACAAACAGACGAACGGAGCACGCTTGTATGTATTTCTAACAAAATACAGTTGAAGACTAGTTAATCTTTGAGAACGGAACGTCAAGATATCGTACTAATAATCCCTAATATGCTTAGTAAGGTGGTCTAGCTTAGGTTGCTAGTGGTCTACAACCTGTTTTTAATTTATACTGTCTTATCTATTGAAAGATTATTTGTTTTAACTTTGGTTTGTTTTCTACCTAAACTGTGATATTTACATTCCTGTTTTACTGTCCTTTGTCAACAGGCATTTAAGAATAATTAATTGTCCTCATCGCGATATGTCTGTTAAATTGCCGATGTGATTAGGAAAGATTTCAGTCAAATCTGCCGTATCCCCGAATCCAACCCGCGAAATTGAGCTTGGCGAACCAACGCTATAATCACTCCTTAAAGACTATCCCACCGCCACGACCAGAAGAAGTTTGTGTGAGTCAAACTGTGTTGAAGCATGAAGGTCATTTCTCAATTGAAGTCCGGAGTTTCTTTTCATCAAATCTTTTAACCAGAAATAGACCAGGAAATCACGTGTAACTGATTTTTTGTCCGCTTTGTTCTGAACTCTTGCTTAGTCCAATTTATACATAGGAGTATATTCTTGAAGAAGGAGCGTGTTAACAGAGGCAGGATTTATATCTCACACTACATTAAAATACTAGCTTCTGATTGGTTTAGGAGCGGGCAATTATTTTCCATGTCTCCCGCTCATGTAGCCCGCCCAAGTACCCGGCTGAGAAATAAATTGAAACACACCCGAGGTAACTTGCTCATCTCGTATAGTAATTCAGTTCGTTTGCGTCGTCTGCTAGCTGTCAAAATGGCTGAATCAAAGCGTTTCACTCAGTGAAACTTCGGACACATATTACGGGTCTGTATGAATGACGGTGAGATAAATTCGTTGTCAACAGATTCCTCGGGGCATATGGTGTGATGTACTATAGCTATAGGCTCACCCACAGGGTACATCGCACCGCACACCCCTCGAGATCGGTTGACAACGTTAAGTGTCCCATGTAACATGTCGAAATGAGCATTGGCGCAGACTTGAAGTTAGGTTTGAGGTGAGGTGAGGTGAAATGGGGTTTAAAGTCGCGTCCAAGATTATTGCACTCATATAGCGTGTGCGTGTGCGTGTGCGTGTGCGTGTGTGTGTGTGTGTGTGGCTGCTTGTACTAGTCCGGACTGATGCCGATTTATAGTGCTAGCTCACTGAAATACCATGCCGCAGTTTAACATGAATACCCCACTCAGACACAGTATACTGACTCCGAGCCGACCAGTCCTTGTTTTAGCCCCCTTATGCCGAGCGCCATGAAGTTGGGTTTGAAATATGTTGCATATAAAATACCCATGAGTGAATCAACTACAAAACAATGGTAATGCCTTCACAGGAATATCAGCTGTTTGCATGGCAATGACAGAGCTTGTCATATTCGACAATACGAATTTGACACAATCATTCCCTAGCTCGATTTAATGGATCAGAAGACATTTAATTATGTCAACGGGTTTCGGGTTTATTTAACAACGACACTTTTATTACATTAGGAAGTACGTACTCACATCAACTACGAGTAATAATTAATCATAATACTTTCATAACCTATCCTCCTTGAGTGCCTAAACTACTCAAGGCAACCCTGAAAGTTACACAAAAAGGTATTGTGGATTCCACAGTAGCTAATTGATGTGATGGTGATGGACGACATGGACGACAAAGTAATGTTTGCTGCGGGAACATAAAAGCAGATGTTTTAGAATTAAATATGGAAAACTTTACATATTTACCGAACCAAACACCGGCGCTGTTTTAAGGTTAGTTAAGGCATATTAGTTTAGTTGAAAAGGGATTTTGACAGACTAACATATTCAAAGTGGTACTTGCAACTATGTTTATCCTGGAATCAATATGGCCAGAGGAATTATCGTCCTTTTGGTTTAGTAAGGCGGCTGGGTTTATAAAGGTAAAATGTGTTTTGATCACGTTTCTCTAGTCTAAATATAGCCTCATTGTGATTGTAGGTTTGTCAGCACCACATCCGTGCTCATGTGAAATCGTCTAACACTTACATTGCTTCGTGCCGACATGCCGAATGCCGAATGCAGTGTTAAACAAGATGAATTACGTTCCCAGCGAGAGAGGAAGGAGGAGCACGAACAACAGTGAATAAGGGGCAAAGTAGTGGCGAGATTGAATGACATTACCTGTGACGTCCTGTGCGTAGGTTTTACGCATGCGTAGTTGTCCCGTAAAATAGGTACAGATGGACTGTCTACGATTACATAGGTTTTAATGAGAATAAAGATTAACAGAATGAGGGATATGTATGGGACCAACATATGTTACTGAGGACCTACTGTAACCCCGACTCCCGACGGGGAGACCAGCATATGTTGGTGAGGACCTATTGTTACCCGGACTCCCGACTGGGAGACCAGCACAGGTTGCTGAGGACCTATTGTAACCCGGGCTCCCGACGGGGAGACCAGCATATGTTGCTGAGGACCTATTGTAACCCGGACTCCCGACGGGGAGACCAACCTATGTTGCTGAGGACCTATTGTAACCCGAACTCCCGATTGGGACACAAGCAAAGGTTGCTGAGGACCCATTTTGAACCGAAATCCCAACGAGCATCCAAGCAAATGGCAACTTCAGGTGAAAGCCAGTGGTCATATTTCAGATCATTCCTCATTTACATAACTACACATGGCATCACGAGGAAATAATGGACAAGGATTAGGGGCAAATCATACCCTCAGCGCCAAAGAGTAATCAGTGTACATAATCAGTCTACTGTACTGGCACCTGGCACAACTGGCATAGATTTGTGGAGAGTCAACCTATCTGACAATAAACCTGGATATATTGTAATGCAATCTGGACTGCACCTGATCATATACAACTTCAGTCGTAGTGTACGTGTCAGGTTTTCATTTAACTCTTGGAAAGCTGTCGGAATGTTGCAAGGTTTTGCAACTAAAATGAGATGTCAGATATGGCAACAGAACGTGGACAGACCTCAAAGATATTGTATAACGACACGTATAGCACATCCGTTGACTGTTTGTCTGAATAATTTTACATACAACTTAACACTCAAGCAAGGATATCTTGAATATGGGCTGGTTAGCATGCTGTGTAAACTGAACAAGACCACGTGTCCAATACATGTACTTCTATACAAAGGGTGTAAGTACGGAACAAAAAGGGTGCAAAACGTAAGTGCCGAACGCATCTACGGGTCATTTCCCTGGATAAGCGTAGTGTTTCCTTAATCCAGTTGGTGTTTTCATTACTATTGTCAAGCTGCGATGTCGAGGAAAATCAGAAGACTTTATTGCACTGCACTTTCGGACCAGTGTCTTTAGTTTTAAGAACGTTACTATTTTACTCTTCATGTATATTTCTTCGGACAATTCGCCAACATGCCACTTGATGGATTTGGATGGTATTGATCGCTTATCATAATAAATTGAAACAATCATGAACATGATGATTATTATTATCTATAACCGTCCGAAAATATTCGACATACCTCGATGTGCTAAGGACAATGTTATGCATAATAATTATGGATAATACTGGGCAATTTGTGGCATTCACACTCTTAATCGGTGTCTGTTTGAAGATAAAGCTGCACATGTACATGAATGTCACGTAACGGGGCAATATTTGTGAATTTTATGTTAGCTTCTTCTGATCTGTTTCCACACGTTTCACTTGGAGTGCTGGGAAGGTGTATCTTGTTACTTCCCACTCTCCCATAAAATCAGCTTCAAGCAGCCATTTGATATGGTTGTCATGATGACACTAATCAACAGGTCTGACATTTGCTATAGAGAAACCAAATATGACCATATGAATGTTGAAACACGGTTTAAATGAAGAAAACAGTGTTGTATTCTCAAGGAATTTTCATTTATTATTTCAAGGCAAATGTGATTATATATGACACTGATTTATTCTGGATGATATTCATAAATCAACCAGTGAATCGCCAATCTGTATCACACACCAGGGAAGGACTTTGTTAAAATCTTCAAGAAATATCAATTTAGCACAAAGCGTAAACAACCACTATGGTGGGATTCGGACAATATTTGAAACTAAGTAAATTAATTACGGAGCGTTAAGGAGCCACAGAGATCTGAGACATGATAATGACATTTATAGAACAGAGAGAAAACAGTTTAAGCAATAATTATTTACCTGAAAAACGAATACCCTATTTTGATAAACAGAGTACATTATTATCGTCATCAAAATCTAAACCAAAACAGTTCTGGAAACTCTTGAAAAAACATAATGAATACAATCACTTAGAACATTTCCAGATGGTCTAGTGTCTACATCTTGTGAAGGACGTTTACAAATCCTGATGTCGGAAAAGGGGTTTATAGGTTTATAGACCCAATCAAGGAGACAACATGGCGACTGTTTATGTTTACACGAAGACATTTGTTACGTAACAAACATAATTTCAGTTGGATATAAGTGTCAGGCAACCACCAAATACGCGTAAGTAGAGGTTGGCGCACATGTTGTGAACTATTCCGTCTGGGGCTGGAAAGGTACCAGGATTCGTCATCATGCAAATTGGGTAAAATCAGCGACGATCTTCAGACAAACTATCGATAAGGTCGGACGAGTTATCGCCTATTGGACGTTGGCTCGACTAGGAAGGTATGAGGACTGTGATTGCGTTGTTAAACTCTACGTACAGCCTCCCCTATAATATATGACTTATACAGAAATAACTAAGCAGTTTTGTCAGAGTCCATCTCTAAAACATACAGGTAGCTTACAACCCTGTTCCAGGCATAACTGACCGCCTCCGTAGGTCCAGAGGTAGAGCGTCAGCCCGGAGAGAGGGAGGTCCCGGGTTTGATCCCCGGCCGTATCATACCAAAATGTGGTACTTATTGTTACCCTGTCTGGAGCTCGGCTTTAAGGAGCTAAAACAAGGACTGATCGGCTCAGGAGTCAGTGTACTGTGTCAGAGTGGGGTATTCATGTTAAAACTGCGGCATGTTAACTCAGTGGGCTAGCATTATAAAATCGGCACTAGTCCGGACTAGTACAAGCACACACACACACACACACACACACACACACACTCACACACACACATTCACACACACACACACTCTCTCTCTCTCTCTCACTCACACACACACACACACACATTCACACACACACACGTGACGTTAAACCGCATTCCATCTCACCTCCTAGCATAGTTATGTGTGCCCCAAGATGATGTGAAGCGTAAGGACTCTTGTTTGAATAGGGTTAGAAATGGCCGGCATGTACAAAACGTTTCCAAATTTGATGTATCAGTAACAAAAATGATGTCGATGAAATTCCCTATTTTAAATTGTGCCATATGTTCAAGTAAATCAGATAAGATAAGACTTTATTACCCCAAGGGAAATACATATTGCACAGTTGATTAGCAGTAAAATATTTTGAAAAATATATATGATATTAAATTATGAAAAGACTAACACTGGCTGATTTCCGGGTCCTGTTTGTTTTCAGCATCGGTATGCGCTGTCGGCGACCAGAATGTAGATACTCTGATTGAAGTATATAACTGCTGTCATTTTACTATAAATTCATAATCATAAATTTCGACGATGAAATATGACTAGTACAAGCAGCCACACACACACACACACACACACACACACACACACACACACACACACACACACACACACACACACACACACACACACACACACACACACACACACACACACAAATGCATAGAGCTAAATACTGTGTGAAACAACATTCACTCATGTAAGTCCTGCTCAGTTTACATTTAAATGAAGGAAAATATCAGTTATGATTTTAAGCAAATTATGTCTAATAAAAAGCAGCAAGCAATGTGTCCAAGCCTCAGTTAACAGCAGCGTTCTGTGTTAAATTTTTACTTGTTCGTCAATGTCGTACTGTACGGCGACCGGGATTCAAGCTGCTAGATCCGATATCAGTAGCAGTTGTACATTTACTTCCCGGTGCTTTGCATTATTGATAGTTTCTCAGAAGTCATGTCAACTTTCGGTTCAGCAGTATACCAGATTGTTTTACTACAACATAGTCGTGAGGCAACATTCAAATCAATACAACAAGAATATGTCGATGGCGGTTCTACATACGGCCTGACGGTGTGTGTTACGCGTAAGTATTCTCAACTGCATGCCAGCGTATGAGTATTGTGTGGGTCGTGTTTCACCATGGGTTTGTAGACCTCGCACTGAGCGTATTGGGTCACAGTGACATTACTGCCTTGCATTGATCTAAATAGTACATGGGTACTGGCGTGTACAGTTTATGTCAATATATCACACATCCAGTGTTGAAATCTTAATGGATACTCGGGTCACATGTATGTTCGTGTGTGGGTCGGGATTCAGATGTATGTGCATAGGGTGCGTGTGTGACATGTCAGCTGAGGCTTCGATGACTCAAACATGATAGATGATAGATTATTTGCCAAGCTATGGAACGTGTATCTATCCAAATATGTTAACCCGAGTACATGAAATAAGCATTTATACATTACGGGGATTAATCATTGTAATACTTTTGTATTGGTAATAGCAATATAGGACAAACTTATCATATGAAAAGCACACCATGTCAAGGACATCTACTTAGGGACCGGTTATTTATTACAGGGGGCGTGAGCCAGAGGTTTTCGATACAGTAATGTATTGAAAATAATGACCCTCTCTTAATGCCTGTAACAGTGTTTGGATGACACCCCCACCCCCCTTACTTGATATTTTATCATACAATGTCAGTTCTTTCATGACCCTCCCCAACTAGGTGTACAGTATTATTTCTTTATGATCCTCCCACATTTTTGGCCTGATTCCCTGTGACCCACACACCCTATAATAAATGACTGGTCCCTAGCCACACCCTTGGATATGTGTTGAACATGTTCCCGCTAAAGAGCACGATATATAACTATACTATACCTAACTATAAACGATTGATATGACGTGATAAGGACAGGTTAGTCCGGTTGCACGGCGTCAACGCCTCGTTTCAAACAAAGAAGTGTTGTGCTGCAACGATTTTCCAATACTAACGCGCACATTCGCTTTCATAACGGCCGGTTATAAATATCAGTCAGGAACTAGATATCTTGCATGTTTAGGTGAAGGTTACATTTATATCAACATATATTATTACATCCTATCCTGTTCCCCAGTTGATGTGACAGTGACCGACTTAAACATGATTGGACACAGTCCTTGTACAGGACACCATGACCTGAAGCGAGTGAATTATAGCTTGATCCTCACGTCATGTCACGTGCAGATATAGTGTATGTCATTTAATACCTACTTTATGGTGCATGGTTAAAGATTTTCCTGTTTTATATTTGTACTGAGACGTTAGAATTCTGGAACGTGACATTACATATAAATTGACAACACTGTGGAAGTAATTTTGGGAACTTAACATAGAATCACATTGAGAAAACGACAGTGTATTGTGTGATATAGGGTTTACGGTTTATCATTATTAAGAAGCGCACTGTGAACATGTTTCAAGAACGTATTCTTTTAATTATGTTGTTACATGTTCATGCTTTGTTTGTTTGTTTGTTTTTGTTGCACTCAGCAATGTTCAAGCTATATGACGGCGGTCTGTCAATAATCCAGTAACATCATGAGCATCAATTCACGTAATTGGGATATGATGAAATGCATCAACCATTTCCTATTCTTCCCCGGATCCTCACGGATCACAGTTATGATGTCTTTAGTTGCCGTATGCGGTGTCATATTAGGTTAGCAGGAAAATATATTTAATTGCTAACCTAATATGACACCGTATACGCCAACTAAAGACACCATAATGAATTTATTATGCCGAAAAGTTTACACTATTTGGTATCTTTGTCGCACATGTCGTGTCAAAATGAAAACTTGACACTTACAAACGGTATAAGCGACAGGACCGGTACATATGTGTCCGATACAACGCTTTAATGTAAACATAAACGTTCACAATGGAATATATAATGCACTAAATGTGAACGTTTAAATTACTATAGCTATAATGGATAGAATTATAAAAATAAAATGCCCGCATGTTTTCAGAAATCTGCGGGCCACTGTACCTTGATAGCAGTCCGCTTTCCCCTAACGACGGGCTGCTGTCTATTCTATTGCAATGTGACGTCATTGACGTCACGTTTCTTTTTTGTGACGTCATCCAATAGTATGTCCTATGACGTTGCTATTTGTAACTCAGTGACCTTTTTTTCTCTACATTTTCTTTAAAAATAAAGTCCCGAACGTGGTTTCTTAAATAAATGATTTCTTTGCTCATCACAAAAGTGTCGAATAACGAATTTCTGTACCAGAATTTTCATGTGAAGTATTGAGGTATTAGGTCATATTAGGTCAGAAACAACCATCTTGGATTTTTACTGACGGTGTACGGGCTCATGTGGGGTCAGTAGTTCTGCTCTCTGATTGGTCAATCTCACTTTGAGACATAATAATCATGCATATGGTCTTGTTACGAGGGAGAATAAAGCCCATCCTTCGTAATTTTTTCTTTACAATATGTTTTAAATGATTTTTTAAAATATAACTGAATATATCCTTAAAGGATAGGTAACTAAAACATGCGTCTATCTCAATCAATCTTGGACTTGACTTTTGATGTATTTTTTATACGCTCTTTCCGCGGTTGGTTATAAATTGTTGATATGTGATACCCGGAAGCAAGACGTGCACTCGGTGGAATCATCCCCCGACTGTAAACTTGCAAGCAAAATTCATCGAGTCATATCATTTTTGTGTACTCATATTCTTGGCATAATATGTGACACATTACACAACTCTTTCGAATAATGTTTATAATTATTCCCGCGATAAGCTTGGGTGTGTGATGTAGCCAATAAAAAAATATCAACGAAAACATTCTAGGGTCCCTTGTTTCATTGTATTATTGATATTCCAAAATCCGTTTGAACCAATTGTCGCTGAGTGGTTCCTTTATACGTCGCCGTCGTTATGTACTGTAACTTGCAAGGTATTGACTCTGAAGTCGATCTTTTGAAGACGGTTGGCCAACAATGGTGTGTTGACGTCACTCTGTGTCAAAACAAGATTCTGAGTTACAGGTCCACAGGTCGAAAGTTCTCGTCCCGATTATGACTGTCTGTTTGTACCATACCCGTGTTCGTGGGTGTTTCACTATCTTCTGTTATCAGGTATAATCTGAAACGTTAACTATTATGACTAAACTACAGGTGTCCTATATATATAAAGCCCGTTCTATATTAACTAAAAGCGTCCGCGAACTAAAGCTATAAAGTCGTTCACAAAAGTACCGAAATACGCACATGTCCTACCATACAAATACAAGAGAAGACAAATGATGTCGCTAACAAATGACTTGAAATGACTTTTTGACATGTACAATATGTTCCCGTGTATTTTTTCAGGTGAACAATCGATTTGCCTTTGCATGTGTTTGTGACGGGTGCCATCGGAGGGGCAGAATACGCTCACCTTTTCGCGAACACCTGGTATCATTACTATTTGATAGTGATTCATAAACACATGCTCATGATATAGTCGGAATCGTAAATCGACAATAGATTTCTATTGGATATGGAAAGGGTTTTGTCGCTTCATTTACAACGTGAACCGCCCAACTCTCTTCTGTGATTTAAGCTTAAGATTTCTTGATTTCAACCCTTATATGTCATTTTAGAGTTTATCCATACTAATATTATTCATAATGTCAACTGTAATTGAAGGCAACTATTAATAAGATATTAAAAATAACGATTAATTCAGAAACAATTCCCTGGATCATATAAAGCAATCCAATGCTCATTAGTAATCAAATCCATGTCACAATAAATTTCGTTTTTGAGCATATTTTGATAACTCAAAACAAGCCAACTTATTTACAACAGTTGAACTAAAATAATACAAGGATATCGTTAACCGTCATGTGAGTTTGTGCTGAAATTCTATTCGTAGTTCAACTAACATTCACTTTGTGGGGATTAGAAGGTGTCTTGTGATGGACAATATATTATTGACGTCAGTACACTTTAATCAATGGAATAAAGGGACAAAACCCTTCCGATATTCATAAGAAATCGCTGCCAATAGCAGCGTCAATTATACGATTTCGACTATATCGAATATGTGTTTCATGATCACATAGTGATAACGTCTGGTGTTCGCGAAACAAAAAATTCATTCTATTTTTGTACGTGACAGAGATGGACATGATGATTTGCTGATTTCAATTTTTCAGAATAACACATCCTCTTATATACAGAATCTGAATGATTAAGACGATCGTGATTTTCGTTTCAGGCGTTACAAAGGCCATTTCCAAAAAGAAAAACACACATGGAATGCGTCTTTGGGCATAGAGAAGAAATGTTGTGAGAACCGCAACCTACCTACTGTCAGCACAGACACACACCAAGGAAACCACGCCACCGCGTACTAAAATCTATTAAGCACTTTGCAGTCATAGTAACAGACGCAGTATGGACCAGCCGGACGTTGGACTCGGTCAAGGGTGTGGACGGGGAAGGGGGTATATCCTGAAGCAAGCCATTGAAGACGCTACATCAACCTCTAGGGTAATCAACACGAACCGTTATACATGCTTCACTTAGAATAAAAAAAACCAACTTTTTCTATAACAATGGCACCATGCGATTATTTTTTAATGTGACAAGAATGGGCTATTTAGAATAACGTTTTAGTTCTTTGCTTTTGTGCTGGTGTGTACTTCGATGTTAGTGGTTACTGTATTTAAACTAGCTTCAGCCACCAGCTATAAGATCTCAGTGATGCAAGAAGGCTCTTCATCTGTAATACTGCAAACTTTCAATACAAAGATTAACATTTAGAAAACCCTATATCCTATGCTGAATCGCCCTGAAACAACAATCTACTATATTTTATGGATGGTTGTCAATAAAAGAGCTTGTTGATAACCTGTCTGGGATGCATTCTGTCCAAGCTGTGAAGATGGGGATGTAACTATAGGTATGGTCACCACGTTTAGTGACAAATATCAAATGGATCAAGGGACGAAGCTTTTCCTAAAGTTTGTCGAGTGAGATAATGGTTTACAAAATGTTTTGACATAATTGAACTTAGTTCAAGCACATCCACACTTACTTAACCTACTCTGAAAGGCATTCAAAAGGTTCATGGTCTCTACTGGCCCATTCATTGGCATAGGCTTCTATATCATCCACAATGAGTTAAAGTTATGATCTGAAATAGTAGCAGGATGTTCACGATATTCTGGCCCAAATTTGAATAACTGGCGAAGGTTGTCATTGTCAACAATTAAGTAGTCACTTGTCACCTGTGACCAACAGCAGTATGATGAGTACTGGCAGTCACAATAAGCCTATTAAAAGTTCATGTTGTTTTGATCCTCTTTTCTTGTAATTACCAATAAATCTGTATTGTTATAAACGTGCACATGTTCTCCTTTTTTCACTCAGGTGAAATCCGAAACAAATACTGGAGAAATGTCAAAAAGTGAGTATATCAACACACTCCACCATAAATCTTGAACACGAACACGTGGTTAGTTACCGCAGTATTGACGATCTGGAATGCTACTTCATCTATAAATGATGCTTGTTTGGTTTAGAGAGCATGTATCAAAGCTTAAAAATAACACTCTTTTTTATTAGTCCAAGAACCAAATCAGTCGACTGTATCAGACGAAGAGATCAAGAATTGGTTAAAAAAGGTTGGTTTTCTTCCCATTACAGAAACTGCACGCTGCATAAGTCTTTTACTACAAAATGAGCACCCGCGAAAGCTTACATGCCATATTGTTCCGTTTAAAGTTGTCATGGCTGGATGCATTTCTAACTCTTAAATGTTGATTAGTTCCATGGGTGAATTTAAACTATGGTTATTGGACGACATTTCTAAAAGCAGTTCTTGCAAGATCAGACACACAGAGAGGAGCTAATTGTCAAAATATGACCAGTTAAAAACTGAGCAGTAATGGCTTTGGCTATTCCACGAGCCTTGTTCCTACTTGCATGCAGAAACTTCGAGAGATGGGCGACAACGATTTGTAAGCTTCCGCTGAGATGTCAGCTCTCCCTCAATAATTTGTAGTACAACAGTCAACACACATAACACACCTTTCGATTTTAACTTCAGTGAAGGAAATGAAAATAACGGTATCTGCTCTCTTCACGTTTCATTTTCTTCCCTTGAGCATTAAACGTTTTTTAACATGATTGCAACATGAATATATATGACTGTTATAAAAAATAAGTTACCAATTTTGACGAACATGTTGGAGGCAGTCATTCTGTAAATCTCCCTATTTGTCCTGCTCGTAAAGATACTGTTAAAAACGTGAACTTTTAACATCACATATAATACAGGAGCTGACCGGACGCAAAGGTGGGATATGGACCAAGCATTTGCCGGGGTTCTTTAGCAAATTCTTTCATGCCAGTGCGCCAGATGACTTCATCAGGAAGATACAGAGTTGGTCTCAAATGTTTCAAATTGACAGGTTGGTGTTGTCTTTGACATTTCTTGTCCGTCGCACCTGCTATTAGTATTTTCATTGGATGTAATAATATCAAATTATATATAGGTTTATGGAGATCGTAAACACTTTGTAATCTGATTCAGGTATTGTACCAATTGTATTACTGTACGTTTTGTGGTGATGAGAGGTTTCATGTTGATTGAACATACAATCGGCTCCACTTTTGGCAGAGATTTCTGATGACTATGGAAAGTGTTTTGTCGCTTATATTTCCATACACTATTTGCATAAGCTATATGATATCCTGCTTATTCTTTCTAGCATCACAGGAGGAGAAATCATACGGCTGTCACGCGAAGTCCACGTTGAACAAGGAGGAAATACAGAGGTAAATATTGAACAAAGTGATATTTGTTTCTAATATCAAGTTTGTGGCTTTAAGGCATATGCTATCCATATTTTATGGATATGAAAATTGAGCATTGACACAGAATTCTGACTTTTCATTTGAAGGAATCAATACCAAATGTTGAAACTGTTCCGGACAAGTATATACAGATTTGGCTGAAAAAGGTAATTGTGTGTGTGTGTGTGTGTGTGTGTGTGTGTGTGTGTGTGTGTGTGTGTGTGTGTGTGTGTGTGTGTGTGTGTGTGTGTGTGTGTGTGTATGAACGTCAATCACTAACATATGTGATATGTAATTCCGTTGGTGGAATATAACAGAGGTGTCCTATTCCAGTTCACTTATTATGACAGTATTTCACCTTAGTGTACTCATGTCAACAGAAAATGTTATACGTTTGCGAAACGTATCTATGTATATATTTCCCGCTATGAATTTTAGAAAATATGTTGGATAAAGGTTTGTTTGTCATGCAAGAAACTCACTACTTGACAATTTGTAATGTACTATAGGCCTGTTTCCTTCAAGTATGTGAAATAAAGATATATTGACACCTATTTACAGATGTATTAGGAAAGCTTATTTAGAAAGAAAAAATGAATGAAAATGGATCCGGCAACGTTTATCAAACTAAGAAACAAAAAAGGTGACTAAAATCTTTAAATACAAGTTTGTTAGTAGTAACATGTTACGATGAGATCATGCATTTATACATGCTTTAATGATACAAAAGGAACTGTCCAAAAGCAACAGTGGAATTTTGATGACGGACATTCCTCGTCTCTTCAAAGAAAACTTCAATGCTCCGGCACCTGAAGATCTGATTACGAAGACACGGTCATGGACTAATATGGTTCAAATCGAAAGGTAGGTGTTACCAGAATGCCACATTTCTCAACTATGAAACTGTTTTAAAACAGTTTGTAGTTTGGTAACTGATTATATGTTTTAGTTTAGTTTTGTGTGTCATGCGTTAGGAAAACAGTGCATTCCTCTTGCATCGTCATGCGTGCATACACATGAGAATGACAAAGTCTTTTCCTGTATAATGTTATCGTCTTTGTCTTTCTAGTATTCATGGACGAGAGATTATGACGTCAACATCAAGAATATCTCCAACACGCCATCCAAAGGTGAACCAACTTCAAAGTAGATCTTTCTGACTCATCCGGACATTCATATTCCTCATTGCTGAATTGCATAATGTTTGCATTTCGTTTGTGACCAACAAGGAAATAACAAAGAAAAAATATTTTCTCATTCTAATTTTAGAAACCACAAGACGAAGACACACAGGCCATGAAGGAAAGGTAAAACAAGTTTTCAAACATCTTAATTTGGGCTAGTGTTATGATATGGTTGGATTATAAATTATGTCTTAGGGGGCAGGTGAGATGGTGTTTTCACTAACTTCATATTCACAACACACTATTAAGCAATACACCCCCTTTTTGTCAAACGTTAATACATTCATGATTGTGTTTAGTATTGAGGTGAAACACATGCTACCTTCACTGACAAAATATGGGTTTCGTATTTCACACCTTTAATGCCTTTAATAAACAATCCAATCAATTTTGAAGCACTTCAGATAACAAAACAGTTTCCAAGGCAGTCTGCATACCTGAAGAAGGATCATTTTTGGACGTGCACGTAAAATGGCCGGAAAGCCCAACAGACTTTTGTGTAAGAGACTGTTTGTCATTATGTGTACGAAGTTTTATTATCGACGAGCCAGATAGTAACTTAAAGTTATGAACATCACTTTTACGAACATATACCGTTATATAGGTGGTGCATAGGTAGTTCCATGCTGTGTACCGAGGTCGACATCCTCTTCAGGACAGTTTGTTACATTGGTGCTAATTATGCATAAATATTGAACAAAGTGATATTTGTTTCTAATATCAAGTTTGTGGCTTTAAGGCATATGTTATCCATATTTTATGGATATGAAAATTGAGCATTGACACAGAATTCTGACTTTTCATTTGAAGGAATCAATACCAAATGTTGAAACTGTTCCGGACAAGTATATACAGATTTGGCTGAAAAAGGTAAGTGTGTGTGTGTGTGTGTGTGTGTGTGTGTGTGTGTGTGTGTGTGTGTGTGTGTGTGTGTGTGTGTGTGGATGAACGTCAATCACTAACATATGTGATATGTAATTCCGTTGGTGGAATATAACAGAGGTGTCCTATTCCAGTTCACTTATTATGACAGTATTTCACCTTAGTGTACTCATGTCAACAGAAAATGTTATACGTTTGCGAAACGTATCTATGTATATATTTCCCGCTATGAATTTTAGAAAATATGTTGGATAAAGGTTTGTTTGTCATGCAAGAAACTCACTACTTGACAATTTGTAATGTACTATAGGCCTGTGTCCTTCAAGTATGTGAAATAAAGATATATTGACACCTATTTACAGATGTATTAGGAAAGCTTATTTAGAAAGAAAAAATGAATGAAAATGGATCCGGCAACGTTTATCAAACTAAGAAACAAAAAAGGTGACTAAAATCTTTAAATACAAGTTTGTTAGTAGTAACATGTTAAGATGAGATCATGCATTTATACATGCTTTAATGATACAAAAGGAACTGTCCAAAAGCAACAGTGGAATTTTGATGACGGACATTCCTCGTCTCTTCAAAGAAAACTTCAATGCTCCGGCACCTGAAGATCTGATTACGAAGACACGGTCATGGACTAATATGGTTCAAATCGAAAGGTAGGTGTTACCAGAATGCCACATTTCTCAACTATGAAACTGTTTTAAAACAGTTTGTAGTTTGGTAACTGATTATATGTTTTAGTTTAGTTTTGTGTGTCATGCGTTAGGAAAACAGTGCATTCCTCTTGCATCGTCATGCGTGCATACACATGAGTATGACAAAGTCTTTTCCTGTATAATGTTATCGTATTTGTCTTTCTAGTATTCATGGACGAGAGGTTATGACGTCAACATCAAGAATATCTCCAACACGCCATCCAAAGGTGAACCAACTTCAAAGTAGATCTTTCTGACTCATCCGGACATTCATATTCCTCATTGCTGAATTGCATAATGTTTGCATTTCGTTTGTGACCAACAAGGAAATAACAAAGAAAAAATATTTTCTCATTCTAATTTTAGAAACCACAAGACGAAGACACACAGGCCATGAAGGAAAGGTAAAACAGGTTTTCAAACATCTTAATTTGGGCTAGTGTTATGATATGGTTGGATTATAAATTATGTCTTAGGGGGCAGGTGAGATGGTGTTTTCACTAACTTCATATTCACAACACACTATTAAGCAATACATCCCCTTTTTGTCAAACGTTAATACATTCATGATTGTGTTTAGTATTGAGGTGAAACACATGCTACCTTCACTGACAAAATATGGGTTTCGTATTTCACACCTTTAATGCCTTTAATAAACAATCCAATCAATTTTGAAGCACTTCAGATAACAAAACAGTTTCCAAGGCAGTCTGCATACCTGAAGAAGGATCATTTTTGGACGTGCACGTAAAATGGCCGGAAAGCCCAACAGACTTTTGTGTAAGAGACTGTTTGTCATTATGTGTACGAAGTTTTATTATCGACGAGCCAGATAGTAACTTAAAGTTATGAACATCACTTTTACGAACATATACCGTTATATAGGTGGTGCATAGGTAGTTCCATGCTGTGTACCGAGGTCGACATCCTCTTCAGGACAGTTTGTTACATTGGTGCTAATTATGCATAAATATTGAACAAAGTGATATTTGTTTCTAATATCAAGTTTGTGGCTTTAAGGCATATGTTATCCATATTTTATGGATATGAAAATTGAGCATTGACACAGAATTCTGACTTTTCATTTGAAGGAATCAATACCAAATGTTGAAACTGTTCCGGACAAGTATATACAGATTTGGCTGAAAAAGGTAAGTGTGTGTGTGTGTGTGTGTGTGTGTGTGTGTGTGTGTGTGTGTGTGTGTGTGTGTGTGTGTGTGTGTGTGTGTGTGTGTGTGTGTGTGTGTGTGTGTGTGTGTGTGTGTGTGTGGATGAACGTCAATCACTAACATATGTGATATGTAATTCCGTTGGTGGAATATAACAGAGGTGTCCTATTCCAGTTCACTTATTATGACAGTATTTCACCTTAGTGTACTCATGTCAACAGAAAATGTTATACGTTTGCGAAACGTATCTATGTATATATTTCCCGCTATGAATTTTAGAAAATATGTTGGATAAAGGTTTGTTTGTCATGCAAGAAACTCACTACTTGACAATTTGTAATGTACTATAGGCCTGTGTCCTTCAAGTATGTGAAATAAAGATATATTGACACCTATTTACAGATGTATTAGGAAAGCTTATTTAGAAAGAAAAAATGAATGAAAATGGATCCAGCAACGTTTATCAAACTAAGAAACAAAAAAGGTGACTAAAATCTTTAAATACAAGTTTGTTAGTAGTAACATGTTAAGATGAGATCATGCATTTATACATGCTTTAATGATACAAAAGGAACTGTCCAAAAGCAACAGTGGAATTTTGATGACGGACATTCCTCGTCTCTTCAAAGAAAACTTCAATGCTCCGGCACCTGAAGATCTGATTACGAAGACACGGTCATGGACTAATATGGTTCAAATCGAAAGGTAGGTGTTACCAGAATGCCACATTTCTCAACTATGAAACTGTTTTAAAACAGTTTGTAGTTTGGTAACTGATTATATGTTTTAGTTTAGTTTTGTGTGTCATGCGTTAGGAAAACAGTGCATTCCTCTTGCATCGTCATGCGTGCATACACATGAGTATGACAAAGTCTTTTCCTGTATAATGTTATCGTATTTGTCTTTCTAGTATTCATGGACGAGAGGTTATGACGTCAACATCAAGAATATCTCCAACACGCCATCCAAAGGTGAACCAACTTCAAAGTAGATCTTTCTCACTCATCCGGACATTCATATTCCTCATTGCTGAATTGCATAATGTTTGCATTTCGTTATTGACCAACAAGTAAATAACAAGGAAAAAAATATTTTCTCATTCTAATTTTAGAAACCACAAGACGAAGACACACAGGCCATGAAGGAAAGGTAAAAGAGGTTTTCAGACATCTTAATTTGGGCTAGTGTTATGATATGGTTAGATTATAAATTATGTCTTAGGGGGCAGGTGAGATGGTGTTTTCACTAACTTCATATTCACAACACACTATTAAGCAATACATCCCCTTTTTGTCAAACGTTAATACATTCATGATTGTGTTTAGTATTGAGGTGAAATACATGCTAAAATATGGGTTTCGTATTTCACATCTTTAATGCTTTTAATAAACAATCCAATCAATTTTGAAGCACTTCAGATAACAAAACAGTTTCCAAGGCAGTCTGCATACCTGAAGAAGGATCATTTTTGGACGTGCACGTAAAATGGCCGGAAAGCCCAACAGACTTTTGTGTAAGAGACTGTTTGTCATTGTGTGTACGAAGTTTTATTATCGACGAGCCAGATAGTAACTTAAAGTTATGAACATCACTTTTACGAACATAAACCGTTATATAGGTGGTGCATAGGTAGTTCCATACAGTGTACCGAGGTCGACATCCGCTTCAGGACAGTTTGTTACATTGGTGCTAATTATGCATAAAAATTAAACACACATTACTATTTGATGTCAATACACACCTCTGCCAGATGAAATATATATCACGATCTGTCTGTTAAGAGCTACGCATTCCATCGCATTGTGTGGTACAAAACCATTAATATTCCATACTAGATTTCAGCCATTGGTAGAAATATTAATGGTCACAATTATGTTTCTTGTTACAGTGTATCCTGTATAAACATCATCCGGAACTAGAGTCAATGATGGAAGAGCTCAACGCATGCCTTGCTGCTAAATCAGAAGTATGAAGACTAACGTGTGTCCATTAAAACTACACGCACAAACAAATACATTATTTCACTTATTAGCACACACATGTATAAGGAACTACGTATTTTGGGAATATTTATGGACAAATCTATCAACAATCCAAGCTTTCATCTGAGAATGTTTTTTACAAATTTGAAAGTTTGCAAACCTCTATGTAATGTATAGTTTCAAGTCTTCTTTTATACTGAAATCGTTTTGCGATAGGGTTTCATCCTAAAAGAGGGTTCAAATGCACCTGTAAACTGTAAACATTTAGCTTTTATTTTTCCTGTAGACAATGTTGAATACGGCACTGGTTCCAGATGACGTATATGCGGGGAATTACCGTGGCACTTGGTATCGAGTTATCTTTAAGGGATATTCAGAAGATAACATGGTGAGAAAGAAATACTGCTGCTTTTATTATTTCCTGCCCTAAACATTGTCCAGTATACATACACTACATTTCAAAAGTCACTTCCCCTGTATCGCGATAGATAGGAGAATAGTGAATAGTGAATCTTATGATAAAATCCGAATTCAACACAGAAAGAATGAGTGAAATAGTCTTCGGGTTTTGCTACCACTGCTGGCACATTGTAACTCATATACAATTGCTTAAAGCCTCGTTAAACTCGGACACTAGCTTTATTCCTTGTTTTGCACAAACACTTTTTCATTCCAGGTGATGACGTATTTGGCTGATTCCTGCAGTGTTGTAAAGCTCAATATGGACCAGCTACAGGAACTACCAAACAAATTTAAAAGCCTTCCTGTCGGTAGTTTTAAAGCACGACTTCATGGTTGGTTAATTTCGTTTTCATTTCATGTTTGTTTGTAACGACTTAGAGCCATTTTGACATCAAGTGATTAATGTTGACATCTGATAATGGTATGTAGATACACACATATCAGAAACTGTCAAATATATGTGCACCCACGAGATCACGTGTCTCCTTGTTAGTTACAAGTAAATAGTTCTCTTATAATATCCAGTTGTTAAGGTTACAATATCTAATCATACATCCTACAGTATATATATAAGGTCAACGCAGGGAATACCCGTTTTCGATTATCTGCCGAAACAGACTCCATTGGTATAAGTGATGAAAATTATATGAAAGGATCACTGACAACAAATGTGATGACACCAGGTGTTCGCGAAAGGATAAGCATGTCCTGCCCTGGAAAATTAAATTTACACCAACTTAGTTTTGGTCTAATACGTTCACCAGGTTTCCAAAATAGAACATGCAGCTACACTAACCTCCTGTTCCAGGTGTTGCTCCAGCTGAAGGAAGCAACCAGTGGTCCGAGCAGGCTCGAAAAGCTTTCAGTATTATCACAACAGAGCGGGACTTTGTTTGTCTGATATGTGATAGAGCTGATGACAATGGAGTGGTATCAGTCAGACTTGTTGACACGTCCACTGAGGATGACGTGGTGGTTGATGAAGTCCTGGAAGAGCGTGACGATGTTGTGCGAACACCGTGATACCAACAAAAACCTTCAGAAGATGATAAGATGTAAAGTTGTGAACATCTCTTGTTTTGAAGACACAATGTACAAATATACATGACATTTTTTTTCGCCATTTTTGCAGAATGCAACGAGTTTCTCATGTATTAATGTATGCATACCTAATAAACAATTTAGATTTTATTTAGCTACATATATGTTAATGTAACACTTACTCTATTTGGCCAAATTAAGATACTTATACATTTTTCGCTGTCAACTGTTTCACTGACAAGGTTGAACTAAGAGGTCAACCACTATGACTTGGACCATTTGATAAATGTAAATATTCCTCATGTTAAAACTTCCAAAATTCGTACACAAAAGTATATAAATATGTATCCAGCCCTCAACTAGCCATCCGATCAGTATCAAGAACATGTATGTATATCCAGCCCTCAACTAGCCATCCGATCAGCATCAAGAACATTTGACAAAGGGCAGTTACTCTAGCGGACAGACTGATGGATTGCCGCGAAAGGCAATTAATAAAAAATGTTGTTTTGCGTATGTGTTGCTTCACCACTGTATAAAGAAACAGATTTCAGTTGGAACTAACTTGGCTACTGTCACTGTCCGACTGACACATCACTTACCCTGTGACGTAATAAATCTTAATGTGCGCATTCCAGGAAAACAATGCATAAGCGCTGTACTCGCCAAGGCTCGCTAAATACAATGTTTATTCCTAATGCAGGATATTTACCATCCCCAAACACACTCGCGTGATAACCTCTTTGTACATCTGTAATATCTTTGTTCGTTCCTGCATTATGACTGACTCATTATATTGTATTTCGTCTTGTTCATATCGTGAACTGCACCTCGTGACAATGGAGGAAATAAAGTATATGTATATGTCACAACATCTTTTTCGTCGCTTTTATTGAATGCAGGGAGTTTCTCTCGTATTATGTTTGCACACCTAATAAACTGTTCCGTGGAAAATATTATTTCCATAGATATGATGGTTTGCTTCATTTAAGATTTTATATAATTATGTGCTTATTCAATGCTTAACCTAATTAGCCAAATTAAAATACTAACTCTTCGTTTTCAACAGCCTTTGTGGAGTTACTCCGTACCGATTGGATTAAGAAACCTCATATTGGATGACTGCTGCTTGGAATGATTATTGTTATTGTGCCAAGATAGATAATCCGTAAAACTGAAAGTAGATTATGCAGGATGTAGTATTGAAACTTGGTCCTTTGTGAGTACTTTGAGTGGTATTTAGTAGATGTACGTCTCTGATGACGTCACTTACAAAAAAATAGCATTCACTATTGACTCTGTCAAAACTAAATACGGTTTGAAAGCAATATGCCACCAGACACTGATGACCTTACACCAACATGAAGTGTCAAGTCAAGTCTTTTATTCGCATGAGGGCCCCTGGCCTACATACAGATAACATGCATACATACATATTGCAATGGCATATGAAGTCATAAGTAACTTATATCATAGTATATAGTCTAGTGTTTGCAAAACTTTGTCTCGCTTCATAACTTCGACATAGATATTTACATACATTTCGTAATAACCTTACATCATTTGAAGACAGAAGCGTTCTAAATTTATAGATATTCGGATTACAGCAATACATTTCAGGCAGATAGGGGTGTTTTATGTTCTTATAGGGGTTATATTTTAAGAGTGAGTGAGTATGGTTTTGCGCCGATTTTAGCAATATTCTAGCAATATCACGGCGGGGGACACCAGAAATGGGCTTCACACATTGTACCCATGTCGGGAATCGAAACCGGATCTTCGGTGTGACGAGCGAATTACATATTAAGATAAAATGATATATCTTCTATCCCTAGATTATAAAGGGGACATAAACGTAAACTTAAATCAATCCCCGGCCATCTCCCTTCGTTAACCTTCAACCTTAACAACCACCGCTCCCAGTCTTATCATCGTGTTACCTTGTTTTCTATCTGTTATAAGGGAGAGGTACTTCTCAGTTCGATTATGCTTTTAAACTCTTTATATGTGTTATATCTTGAACTATTTTCTATAATACTATTCCATGACAGATGATACATATCAATTGCAACATTTTTATACAGTCTAAGAAAAGCAAAAATTTCTTCAACACACTGAGCAATTCTGTAATATGATATAATCAATCAAACCTATTGACCAGTGCTACAATAGCCCGATGAACATAATTTCTGATACATAATTATACTTTCAAAAAGCCAGTATTACTCATTGCACTTAAAATTTAAGCAGACTGAAAATTTTCTCTTTTTGATAGACATGTTCACTGAATCAATCCACAGATAATGTAGTGTCGGGTGCTTCTAAAATATCTGCCTCAATATTTACCTCTTATCAAACCAGTCGCGTACTGATGACACCATTGGACCCAAACTAGCCCCCGTGTATAGAAAAGGGGCAATATTAATTATAACAACAATCCATCACCATTTCACGACATTTTTGACCTGACCTGTTGGATCAATTCGATCATTTTGATGTTAGTTTTTGTATAGTGAAAAAAATGTATGTAATTAAAAAGTGACATGAAGAGGGAGAACTGACGTTTTAGAAGTTTTAAATTAATATCAAATATATCAGTGGATATGTCTAAATCAGAGTATAGTAAAAGAAAAACAATATTGATACATCCATGTATATGTATTTAAACCATATATGAAGGAAAGGTATATGTGAAAAAGAGAAAAACATTATTCGGAATAAGACCTGATGATGAAGGTTAAGATTACAATAATGGTACACCATTGACTTAAAGATCAAGCCATAACAGGACGTCTTGCATGTGCGCGCATTCATTGTAAAAACCTTGCCAGTGAGACTGGTCGCATGTTTGGGATTTCAGCCAATTTACAATGGCCATAATGCACATTATTTATTAATTTAATTTGTCTTATCTCACCTGGACACATAAATATGATTTTATGAGGTACCTTATTACGATATATTGGGACATATTCAAGACTGATTGATTCGTATTTGATATATAATGAATAGCAGGGGAACTTGACAATACACTAACAAGAGTAAATTGCTTCTTTCATTTTTTTACAATAAATAACATATTAAACGATCGACTTTTTCTGAACACATTTCAATGACATCCTCATATGATGATTGACCAATGAGCATAGATTAATCAACATTTACAAATTTGCAGCATTTGAAAGAAAACACATGTCAAGAAAAATGTGGATGAAAAGTGAAAACTTTTCCTCGTATAATGAATGGGTGAAGCCCGTGTTGACTTCGAGCACAGCCTTTGTCGTCTTTGGACGTTTTTACAACACAGCAACAGCATTTACAAGCGCACACATGGTAGCTAGCTCGAGCGCATTTTAGCCCGGGGAGGTTTTTTAAAAATTACACCAGCGAGCATCGAGTGTTATTGGCCATGTTCAGTCCAACGTAACACTGCTAACGCCATTGACCTGAAACCTGCTTACAAGCCCCATTGACTTCTCTCCCGTTAATCAAAGTATTTCTTGTTATGGTGTTATCTGTTTGTATTAACCCTACCCTAGGTAAACATATAATCATTCACTTACTCAACCTTATGATGGGGGCAAGAAGTAGTGCTGTAACATCTTTACATACAAGAAAACGGTGTTATCCACAAGCGTTTCATATATTCGTGTTTTACCAACTTCTAAATTTTTGTATGTCAGAATTCTATACTGTAAATCTTGAAATTAACGCGAGCGTGAATTAAATGCGAAAATGCGAGTGTAGGCATGGGCAACAATGAATGTGTGTAGGCATGGGCAAAGATGTGCAGCCTTAACCTGTATTCAATACCATGCAGGGATTCCTTGGTAGTAGTCAGCCACCAAACAGAAATCATACGCTTTGCACAGCGACCTCGCTATGGACTATGTACCTTTTAACTAAGGTGCATAGATTAGTTCTTATCTCAATTCACTCATTTACTGCAATGTGTCAGGGTCCAACACGGTCATTTGGATGGAAAGGGAAGAGAGGACTTGAATGTATGCGTCGCATTAAGATAGGTAAGATCTATCAATATGATATGTGTTACAGGGAATATATTCAGTGAGGGAAAGCAATAATCCCTGACATTTGTCATTCTCTGAATTAATTTTTTTCTTCCATTCTACCGCCGATCAGCTTATGCCAAAAACATAGTATGGGTTTGGTAATCACTGGTTAATGAAAACTGTTGGTGTTTCTTTCATTTCTTAAATACAAATTTAATAAAATATAAGAGACAAAATTATTTCCATAATTATTGATATAAAACGTTAACGCCAGAGAATTACCGGACGATAAGGTGAACGTACCCTACCCCACCGGTGGCACCCGTCACAAATACTTGTAAAGGAAAGTCGATTGTTCACCTGAAAAAAACACACGGAAAAATAAAGGACAAGTCGAAATAGAAAATTGCATCGAACATCATTTGTGTTACTGATGCGTCAAATGTCCATCACATATCTACCGTAAAACGTTTGAAAGCATCACTGATGCATGTGAGTTTGGTTTTACGCCGTTGTTAAAGGCTCGGGACACCAGCAATGGGCTTCACACATTCTACCCATGTCGGAAATCGAACCCGGGTCTTCGGCGTGACGAGCGAACGCTTTAACCACAAGGCTACCTGACCGCCCCCACTGATGCCTTGAATGTAACTTTGATCAAACAACTTTTAGGCAGAGTTTTATGACGCTCCTTGTTTGGCGAAATCTTGGTAGAAATAGGAGCATGTTGGATTGTACCTAAAACATTGTGAAATGAAGCCACCAGGCGCTCGAGCTGAGGCAATATTGCTCGACATAAAGGGAAAGTAGGACAACTGCACTCACAAAGATGAGTCTCGGAATCACATTGCCTTGTAAGACATGCCACACGTGCACCTGATCTTATCTCATCTGTTCCTGATAAGATTTAGTGTCAGTGCCAGAGGTAAAGTATTTTTATGAATTCCTTACAATGCTACATTCACTTTCAAACAGTCATGTTTCCTCCTCACGTCTACCATAAAACATGGTGACAATTTTACTTAGGCTTTGAATGTAATCGAATGCACTTGAATGCATTGAATGTACTTATCACTGAGGAGTCATTCTGCATTCGACTGTAGCCTTGTAGCCTAAGGCCATTCTCAGAGCTGCTGTACTGGCGGTTCTGGTATTCCTTCCTGAAAGTTCTTAAAATATGGATTGTTAAACGGATAATACTCAAGTCCCATGTGTTGAACGGGCCTTGTACAAAGCATCGGTATATGGAATAAGTAGTGAATAAAAAAAGGCATTTGTTTCAGAAGCAGAATGGGAAATTCTTCCTCCAGGACGGACATAGGAGAAACAAGGATGATAAGAGAGAAATGGGTATAGTACAATAAATTATTGGCATTTAATAGATAACATATTATTACTATGACATGTGTCAAATAAATTTTATTCAGTTTATATTATATTGCCCATTATTCTAAACAATAGAACGATGTAATATAAATTTATGTTAAATTGCGTATTTATTGTATGATCTTTTTCCTCGCCAATACATTGTTATAGGTACATTTTGAAATGTAATAATGTCATATTTGGGTTCAGTGTATGCAAGTGCTGATAGGGCATATGGTTAATAATAGTGTTCGCATACGTTATATTTCATTCTTTATTAAATATATTGTAAATAAAAGCGTCAAAACCCATTCCATAATCATAAGAAATCTCTGTCAAAAACAGAGTCGTTTGTACGGTTCCGACTACACCACGAGCATGTGTTTATGAATCACTATCAAATTGTATAATATCAGGTTCTCGCGAAAAGGTGAGCGTATCGTCATTAAACATGCATTCAGTTCGATTTAGTTCCCGTTATCTATATTGTGAATACACTTGGAGCCTGTGAAGATCCGAGTAGAGAATTGGTCTTCAGCAACCCATTCTTGTCGTGTGAGGCGACTAACGGGATCGGGTGGTCAGGCTCGCTGACTTGGTTGACGGTCATCGCATCCCAACTGCGTGGATAGATGCTCATGATCTCAATCGCTGGATTGTCTGGTCGAGACTCGATTATCTACAGACCGTCGTCATATAGCTGGAATATTGCTGAGTGTGGCAAACAACTAAACAAATAAATACATATTGTTTGATACGGTCCAATGACTCGTCGACGAATATCTGTTGGTTAAAGACAGACCCAAATTGGCATGGTAAACACTGGGATGTCTTAAAGGGACATAGGTAGGCTATTAGGACAACCATTGAGGATACGGCCTGTGTACATGGACGATAATGCCTGTCCACACAGATCACGAGCAGTGATAGAGTTTCTACGCCACGAAGCCATGATTACAACCTTGCCGTGGCCTGCTCGGAGCCCGGATCTTAATCCCACAGAGCACCCGTGGGACATTCTTGGACGGCAAATTCAACGTAGCAGTTCCTAAGTCAAGACTGTCAGAACTGGATTCTGCTTTACAGAAAGCTAACAATTCAACGTCTGATCTGCACATGGTACCTCTACATGTTACTGAGCCGTGTCAGCCTCTTGACATTAGGAATGACATTTCTAACATCCGCCAAATGAGTTTCATTGACATTTGAGTAACTGACGGGCAAGCCGGTTTTTTATGTTTTTAATTTATGTCAAAATGTGTGCATTTGTAACTTTTCAGGTTTTTGCTTGAACCCACCAGATTTCCAACGTTTATTTCCTAAATAAATGGAACTTTCAGTTTTTAATGTTGTCAGGCTGCTGCTTAACGTTTTGTTTTATTATATATAGATATATATAGATATATATATATATATATATAATAAAATAATAAAGTCCACGTTAGTCCATCATCTTCTTTATATCAGTTTCATACATAGTACTTTCGCTGTCTCATGACAGCTCTTCACACTGAAGAGCTGTCATGAGACAGCGAAAGTACTATGTATGAAACTGATATAAAGAAGATGATGGACTAACGTGGACTTTATTATTTTATTATATATTACATGTACACCGAGTGAACATTTACCTCATTTTTGTATATATATATATATATAGAGAGAGAGAGAGAGAGAGAGAGAGAGAGAGAGAGAGAGAGACGAAAGCAGGTCTGAATGTTATGCTCGACTGCCTCCTATTCTGGTGTGTGTTTACCAAAATGACATTTCTATGTTTCAAGTTCAAGTTTTTCAAAATTCAGTGTTTTCTTGCTATTTGTGTTTATTTGACTTAATTTAATTTTAAGATACACAGTTCCTTTCTTAATGTGTTTGTAGTTTGGCGCTATATTTCTAATGACGCCAATAATGTCGAATGAAAACGAGTTAAGTTAAAAAGAACATTGACATTGCGACCGTAATAATACACAAAAGGTGCACAAAACATGCCCAATCACAATGTTGTCGGCTCGATTGTTTTAAGCATCACAACAGAGATAATTAATCATGTCAACCATTACACCAAATATTCGTACAAATCTATTTTTCATTGCTAAATGTGATCGCCCATTGTACGAAAGGAATTATAGCACATTCTTCTTGAGATGTGCACCGTCCTTTCTGAAAGTGAACTGCTTACTTGTCATACTAAGGCTGCATCCTCGTGGTCACGATAAGATTTATAAAAAAATGAAAATACTCTATACAAAATGGAATATAATCCTATAATCAATACACACTATCAAATTACAACGAATGTTAACATGACACATCCCTGTCTTGATTTTTTGCAGTTTGACGAATTCCCAGGTACGAGCTATAAAACCTCAGCGCCTAAAAGCACCGTTTTGTGGCCATCATTTTCAACATCAGGTATGTAGATATTGGTATTTACAATAATTTACAATAAATATTTCGTGGCTTCCAGATTGGTGATCACACTCGCTCATATAAACAAATTCTTAAACAAATGTACCACACCATGATGTTAATTAAAAACTAAATCATAATGAAATATTAACCCCAGGATATATAGTTTTATGCATTCAAAGGCTTGGTGTTTTCAACCGAGTTTCTGATTCTGAAGTAAAAATATTATCATATGTGTTTTGTTTCGAGACAATGTCAATGATGTCTAGTTGATTAGGCTTCTTTAGCAGACTGAAGAACCTCGAGGTAATACGGAGAGCTTCCGCCATCTTCAGGTGCGTGTTGAACGGTGACACTATAGGCTATAGGACAGTGGTTCCGAAACAATCTACCACTGACACACTCAGACAAGACTCGCATCGCTGTCCATGGCAGGGAACGTGAGTTAACGATAACAGATGTACAGTTTGAGGACACAGGGAACTACGAGTACAGAGTTAACCAAGACTTGACCTCAGCTAATCTCACACTTAATGAAGGTAAACAGATAGATGATTCTCAAAACGAATTTGCGTAAGGCAATAATAATATTATTATTATTAAATGCCAACTGGCAATCATTGAGAAATTATTGGTATCTATAAATATTAACTTCCGCGATGATACGGTCGTTAAATTACCTGTTTCAATCACAGGAGGGTGATATGATTTGAAACCCGATTGAACTGTCCATGGTAGAAATAGCGTTACATGCCCTTCGTCTCTATCCGTATCTTTGAACTGTCATTCCTGTTTAAAATGAAATGTATGACCGCAAACTGATGCATGTGTGTGACACGAAATTGCGTACATTTACGTGGTTACCTGTAGCTGATCCAGATATGTGTTAAACCGTGAAGATCCGGGGTAGAATAGGTCTTCAGCAACCCATGCTGGCAGTCAAAGGTGACTATGCTTGTCGTAAAAGGCGACTAACGGGATCGGGTGGTCAGGTTCGCTTGACTTGGTTGATGCATGTCATCGCTCCCAATTGCGTGGATCGATGTTCATGATGTAAATCTCTGGATTGTCCGGCTCAGACTCGATTATTTTTAGACCGCCGTCATATAGCTGGAATATTGATAAGTGCGGCGTAAAACAACTAATCAAACCAAACCAAAACCAGATATTTGTTCTATTTCCTATTTCAGCCACATGTGTCAACAGCATGTTGAACCCGCCCCAGCCTGCAATGCGTCCAGTGTGAGAACAGAGGGGCCTTGAAGAAAATTACATTTAACAGAATTATTAAAGAGATTTTTTCATTTATTTTGAAAAGGATTTGTTAATGCAAATACTCATTTTTTCAATGAATCATCCTCTAAGAAATATGTGTTATTTTCGTTATTTCACGTATTTGAATTCAGTCCTGTGTAACCCAAACATTTGACACGATCCACAAAGTTTGAAATAAGGAATGCGGGAGTGAGTTGGGTTTAACGCCGCTTTTAACAGTATTCCAGTTATAACACGGCGTGTCAGCTTAGTGTGGGAGGAAAGCCCGAAATGATGCAGGTCTCAGACGTTTACCACTTCGGTGACACCCACGAGCACGGGTATGGTGCTGACAAACCTTGAAACATAATCGGGGCGAACCGGGATTCTAACCCACAACCATAGGTTTCTGTCATGTCCAAGGGACGCAACTCTGCACAGCGAATCGCGGCGCCTTAGACGACTGGGCCACCCGTGCCCCCATTGAAATAAGGAGTTAACATATCGAGAAAGTTAGTTTGATTTAAGAGCACTTTGAACGCTATTTCAGTTTTATCACGTCTTGATGAGGAACGAAAGTCTTAAGTCGTGCAGATATTAGGCGTTTTCCACTTTGGTGAAACACACAACCACGGCTCTGATAACCAATAAACATAACCAAGGCGACCCAAGATTCGAACCAACGATCATAGGGTTTCTGGGCTAAGGGACATAACAGAGCACAGTGACACGTCGATCAGTATTTTGTAATATAATTAATCTTATTCACAATCAGGTGATACCTTTAACAAGTCACTTCTGAAAGATTATATGTATAATACCAGTGATTCTCAAAATGTTTTGAGCCCAGCTTACTTAAACCTTAAATATGTTCGTGTTGAGTGCGGCGTTAATGAACACACAAACGAATATTTTCTTGAGCTTTAATTATTTTTCAACATAGTCCCATGAAGTTCAATACGTTTGTTTCATCTCTTGTCCCGGTCAATTGTCATAAACTTTATAGAAGGCCAAATCCTGGAGTAGATACTTGTATCCACATTCTCGAACAGCAACCATTGCAACATGATTGGTGAACTTGAGCATTATCCTGGAGGAGAACATCACGTTATTGACGAGACGCTCTCGCTGATTGACATGCAAAATTTTCTCAATAGGTTGGCATAATATTCACCATTCACAGTTGTTCCCGTATTTGAATAATCGATATATACTATCACTTTGCTGTCCCAAACGAAAGTGGTCGTAACCTTCTCAGAGGATCCAGTTGCTTCAGACTTCTAGAGCTTGGTTTGGCTCCCGGGGTCATGGCGATGGATGCAGGCCTCGTCACCTGTCACGAGCCAAAACTAAAATCCAAGATGTGTTTGGTCAGCTAGTGGTTGAAATCAAATCGTTGTCGGCTTGATTGTTTAAAGCGTCAGACAAGTTTGTTTGTTTGTTGTTTAACGCCGCACTCAGCAATATTCCAGCTATTTGACGGCGGTCTGTGTAAATAATCGAGTCTGGACCAGAGCAATTGGGACCGATGACATACACCATCAGACAAGTATGTGCGTCATACCCTTTTTATAACAGCAAATATTAGTACAAATCGTTTTATGTTTTTTATTCCTGAATATGATCGCCCATTACATGAAATGAATTATACCACACCTCTGCAGCATGCTTAGGAAGCGTGGTGTTCTTTCTGTAGCCGAAGGGCGGTAAGGTAGCCCAGTGATTAAAGCAGTCTCTCGTCACGCCGAAGACCCGGATTCTATTCCCCACATAGGCACAATGTGTGAAGCCCGTTTCTTTGTTTGTGACACATCGTGTGATAAAGCCTTTCCCCAAAAGTGTCATTTTACAACAACTCTATCAATAACAGAGGGGTTATTACCGTAAACATGGACATACATGGTGGACCTTCCCTCTATGAATGGATGCAACTAAGATACTTGTTCTTTGTCGCCGCACTCGGCAATATTCCAATATTCCAGCTATATAAGACGGCGGTCTGTCAATAATCGAGTCTGGACCAGACAATCCAGTGATTGACATCTTGAATATCGATCTAGGCAATTGGTGAACGATGACAAGCATCAATCAAGTCAGTGAGCCTGGCCACCCGAACCCGTTAGTCGCTTCTTACGACAAGCATCGGTTGCTACTGGGAGCTCTTACACTGATGCGTGCTCCTTTTTACAAGTGATAGGAAATAACAAAGAATATCATTGGTTGGTTGGTTTATTGTTTAACGCCGCACTCAGCAATATTCCAGCTATATGACGGCGGTCTGTAAATAAATCGAGTCTGGACCAGACAATCCAGTGATTGATATCGGAAGCATCAATCCACGCACTTGGGATACGATGACATTCATCAACCAAGTCAGCGAGCCTGACCACCCAATCCCGTACGTAGCCTTACGACAAGCATAGTCGCCTTTTACACCAAGCATGGGTTGCTGAAGACCCATTCTACCCCGGATCTTCACGGGTCTCCCTTATATCATACATACGCAGTATTTTCTTCTTGTACCTTTAGATTACTTTACACTGAAGTTGTTTGGCATGTATTCTTTCACCAGGATCGCTACATGAATGAGTGTGTGAATTTAGTTTAACGCTGCATATGAAGAGTAATTCATTAATCTCATGGTGTATCAGCTTCATGAAGGAGGAAAGCAGGGAGTGATGCTCGGACGCTTATCACTTTGGTGAAGCTATTGAGCTGACAAAACAAGAAAATCATTATGCGAACTCACAATCATAGGATTCTGCCACATCAAAGGGGCGTAACTATGCACAGTGAATTACGGCGTCACGGACACTGGGTGCTGCCCAATCGAGAATTGTTGAATTTGTTCTAGATTAGCTTTCAAGTTTACATTGTTAACACATCGAAAATGTATCCAGTTATTAATAGCATCATTTTTCTAGCTTCATCATATACTTTACTTGACCTAATGATTGAATTAAGAAATTTATGTTCAAACAGGAAACCAGATGCAATTACCCTTCCAAAGTCTCCCTTTTATTGTCTCAGAGAGTATTACATTAAACGAGTAACAGCATGTCCCGAATGTATCTTTTCTGCGCCTCATCAATCGGGACTGCTTGAATGAACGAATATAAATGTTCACCAAGGCTTTCATAGTCAGACAGTTCACAATGAATGGTTAAACGGTAATGTCTGATTGTCGATTTTAACAATCTCGTGCTTTTTATTAAAAATACTTTTTCTCAAATGACCAGGAAAGAATGTGACCCAATATTAGCTGACCAAACCGCGATGACATCTATCTGCAGGATTTCTGTGAAATGTTTCTACTTTCACTTTCGACACAATATGTCTGCACCATGAGCAGTCATTTGCATAACATATGTACACGTTTTATGCACATGTTCTGATTTTTACCTCCGCATATACAGACCCTAAGTTACAACAAGTGGTTACGGTGTAGAAGTAAACGCCCCACAGGTATATCATTCCATTTTAGCGCCACGTCACAGTAGTATACGTGGCTCTATTTTTATCAGGACTATAACTTTAGATGGACATTAAATGCGACAAAATACTCCATTTATTGCGTTTATCGGGGTCAGAGAAAACAATAATCGCTTGTGTTCATACTATAAATATGTACTTATTCCAGCGTAACATCTGGTCACAGATAATAACTTGAAAACTCGGAATAAGATTTTTAAAAGTAAAATATGTGGTGATACCTATCTGTTGAAATGTGGTTCAGTGTGGCTGTACATAACTGCACACAATCATTTCATATATGGCACGGTCCGATGGTATGGAGGCTATATCACAAAGCCTAAGCAAAACTCAAAATAAACCCCAACAACCCAAACTCAAAATATACAAAAAAAAGCCCAAACTCTGTGATCCTCATACCGATCATTGACCGTGCTATTGTTACATAAATTTGTTTAGCACTGTTCTTGAGTATGGGGTGCACAGCTGACAGCATTTTAAAGCCACAGATGTACTGTACGAAGCACGTCGAAAAGAAGATAGTGCATGGTGATGAATAAGTGAGCTTGATTTAACATTACTTTGAACAATAATGTCACGAGAGGAAAGCAGGTGTGAGACGTTAAGTGTACTTGAGGTTGCAATAATTTGTGTAAAAATACCATTAATTTTAATACTTCATGACATCGGTTGAATAATTATATTCACTGTACACTGTTTTGCACATGTTTGAATTGTCAGCGGATTTCAACGATGATCGCGTGTACGGTTATGTGGTACAGGGTTTATACAAAGGTATCATTTGTACAGCCATCTATTCATCGTGGGGGCGGTCGGGTAGCCTAGTGGTTAAAGCGTTCGCTCGTCACGCCGATAACCCGGGTTCGATTCCTGACATGGGTACAATGTATGAAGCCCATTGCTGGTGTCCCCCGCCGTGATATTGCTGGAATATTGCCAAAAGCGGCGTAAAACCATACCCACTCACTATTCATAGTGAGTAGCATCATGATAATGTTGTTATATTTAGAATTCACGGACCAAATGTTATTTCTGGTGTTCTGGTCTAATATATTTCTATACTGGTTATAGACCAAGGGTGTCCACTACCTTATTTGTATCGTCATCAATAACAGTACCGTGTATATTTTAAATACCTTCATATTAATAAATGATGTACTGACAAGGGGATATTCTTTCCAGCAGGGGGCACGGGTGGCCCAGTCGTCCAAGGCGCCGCGATTCGCTGTGCAGAGTTGCGTCCCTTGGGCACGCCAGAAACCTATGATTGTGGGTTCGAATCCCGATTCGCCCCAATTATGTTTTTTAGGTTTGTCAGCACCATACCCGTGCTCGTGGGTTTCACCGAGGTGGTAAAGCTCTGAGACCTGCACCACTTCGGGCTTTCCTCCCACATTAAGCTCACACTCTCACTCACTCTTTCCAGCAGGTTCTGCTTTAGTTTGGGGGTCGAAGACTACTTTTCAAACAGTTGTTCAGGGCAGGACTGCTGAGATAAAAGACGATCGAAGAGTGATCAGGGACAGAGACGAAAATGTCGAGTTAATGACCGTTTGAGAGGTAAGTTATAATGATGAGATGATTAAATCTCATAACGTTATACGTCATTGTAACACGGAGGGAGAAAAAAATACCTCAACAAATCAATGAGTGGAGTTCACTCGCAATGTGGAAACATGGACAATAACGTTGAGATATTTAATGCCTTGATGTACAAAGGTATATTCTTCCACTGAACACTTATTCAAAAAGATGCAGTTAAGAGAAATGGAAAATGCCACAAGTGAAATTTATATAATGAGTCAGTTTGATTTTACGCCGCTTTTAGCAATATTCCAGCAATATTCCCGCAATATCACGGCGGTGGACACTAGCAATGGGCTTCAAACATTGTACCCATGTCGGGAATCGAATCCGGATCTTCGGCGTGACGAGCAATCGCTTTAACCACTAGGCTACCCGACCGCCCGAAATTTGAATTAGGTAGCGCGATCAATAAGTTTTCATGAACATATAAGTTTCATGTTCAACAAATGCCGGGCACAAGGTGTAGAGTCTATTTTAAGAGTGATCGGCGGGTTGGGATGCCTTCCAACCTCGATTGCCATAGGTAGGATACATGCAGGTAATCTCATGAAGGTTTTACGGTGATGTCTAGACATAACTCTGGTATATAAGGTTGTGGGCACAACTCTGTTTGAAACAGTCTACATCTTCACAGCTTGTTGTCATTTGCAAACCATCTTAATCGCTAATGTAACCCTATCGTGTTAATCGTCTGTAACGGGCGCGAGGTATTCACTTATTATAGTGAGTCCGGACCAAAGGTAGCACATGTTCACAGAAACGAAAGAGAAAGTAGAACAGGTTCGTGTGGATAAACATAAAGGCTATTATCCGCATAAATTCTTAGCAGCTCACAGGTTTACCCGTGATTGATTTCAAGCATGCGCGCTTCAAGCGGAGTGCTCAGTAACCACCTGCGACAGGAAGAGTGAGTGAGTGAGTGAGTGAGTTGGGGTTAACGCCGCTTTAAACAGTACTCCTGTTATATCAAGGCGTGTCAGCTTAGTGTGGGAGGAAAGCACGAAGTGATTCAGGTCTCAGACGTTTACCACTTCGGTGAAAACCACGAGCACGTGGTGCTGACAAACCTTGAAACATAATCGGGGCGAACCGGGATTCGAACCCACAAACCATAGGTTTCTGTCATGTCCAAGGGACGCAACTCTGCACAGCGAATCGCGGCGCCTCAGACAACTGGGCCACCCGTGCCCCCGTATCATGTTGAAGACGATCAGCATGAAAAAACTTATTTCTGGAATCTTATCCCTGTTTACATATTTACATCGTTTACATATGGTTTACCAAAATCAAGACCTTTCTGTCAGGGATTTCTACAGCTCCATCAAACGGCACTCCTTGGATGTGCTGTCAGTATTTCAGTTTCTCTCGGACACAAGTGAGTGTTTTCTGACATCTATAGACATCTAGTCCGACTGACGTCTCCACATGCTTGTGAAATAAACAGCCCCCTGAAAATTGAAGATTACCGGAAGAAACTGAAGATTTGGAATCTGAAGATTTGCCAGGGATATCGATCGCATCAGCATTTTCATTCAGTGAAGATAAATTATAAATATTTTAATAAACACATGCTACGTGTTGTTTTAAGTGTGTGAAATTGTCAAATGTCTTGAAAACGGTTTCATATAGAAAGTATTGTCAGTATTATGAATGGACGTTATATTTCTAGCGCCACTTAAACCTCGCGCGTGTGTGACTGAAGGTGAAGGCCAAGGTAAATAAACCGGATTTGCATGTTACTTTCTTGTTAAGGTGGTCTGTATTTAACCGTAAGCAACGTTTACACAATGTCATGGCTTGCTGAAAACCAACGTCTACGCACTTTGGGTATGCCGCAAACAGGAATGGCGTTTAAAAGTTTAAAAGTTTAACGTGACAATGACGTCATATTGGTCATTTAGGCTCTTGCAGACTGTAGTCGACATATTACTACAGAAATTTAACCCCAAGTACCGTTCTGTATAACCAAACTGTAGCCCAGTTACATTTCTGTAGGCACAAACTACGTCAGCTAGGCAATAAATTTACGACAGTCTATTTTACAATGCATGGAATCGGTTTCAGATTGGCTGTCATGTAGACTCGCATGTGTAATATGACGCAAGGGTTTCTGTTACCTTATCCTCTAAATCCCAGCATCAGCGCCATTAATAACTCCACGCTTGGAATTTCTGTATTTCAATTTTGGGTAGGGTACATACATGCATACATAAAGGTACCTACATGTAGGGTACACTTATTAAGTACCTGTGTGGACAACCCCAACAGCTCCGTTAAGTGACGGAATTAAGATATGCCTCGCACTGTGTACAATAACGTGACGTAGTACAGATGACAAGGTCAGGACATTCACAATTATCATGCCTTCCCCACATGAGGGGGGGGGGGGGGGGGGGGGGGGTTAAAGCCTAGTGGTTAAAGCGTTCGCTTTGTGTGAGGCCCATTTCTGGTGTCCCCCGCCGTGATATTGCTGGAATATTGCTAAAAGCGCCGCAAAACCATACTCACTCACTCATACTCATCCACCACATGACTTCAGACAGAAAATGAATAATGAATAAGATTAGACCTTACGTGAACAAATAAACCCATGACCCAATTATTTCGGACACCGGAAATCGGACGCTGACTTTGGAACGTTTCTATATAATTAAGGAAACCGTACCACTCAATCCCTATATTTCGTTAATCCAGAAATTTGAATCAAGATCACCAGTGTCCCATGCTTGTCGCAAAGAAACCGACAAATGATTGGTCTGCGACTGGACTAATTTGGGAAGCACCGTGCTCCGATGGCGTGGATCGTCGCTCATGCTTTTAGGCATTGTTTTTGTCTGAGTCAGACTTGATGTACAGGGCCCCGTTCCACAAAGCGATCTTAGGGCGACGTTGATCGTAAGACAATGATAAAGTATGGGAGTTACGACCAACTTAGGACTAAGATCGCTTTGTGGAACGGGCCCCAGGTCGTCAAGTCGTTTTTCAGTTGGTAATGTAAGTATTACCCACACGGTACACTATGGTGTCGCATATTCTGTACGCCGTTGTTTTAAGTACATTGTTCCGGAGAAAATGCGAAATTTAGACATAACGTCTGTCATCTGTCTCGCAATGTGCCTTAAACTATTCCAAACAAATTTTATTGATAGTTTATTAAAATACTGGCGCATGATTGACATGCAAACGGATTTTGGACAACTCCCTCCGAGATTTGCGTGAACTGTGTCACTTTCGCTTTCGGTCTTCACAATACAAAGGAGTCTTTTACAGAAAGGTTTTGTATATGACAGTGGAAAATTTCCGCATGTGTCAAACGAAACCATCACGGCTGACAAGTGTGGTTACAGTTGAATAGAAGTAGAAGTCCCATTGCTATCAGTGCCACGTCGTGGCTGTGAACGTGGCGCTATTTCCATCTTGAACAAAACCTTGCTGTTGACATTTTACACGAACAAATATTACATTTACAACGTTTAGAGGAGCTAGGGAAAACAATTATCGCATGTTTTTATAACTTAAATTTGAAAATAATAAAGCCTAACACCTTTTCACAGATTACATCTTGAAAACTGAGAATAAGGTTAAGAAAAAATCAATATGTAGCGATACCTATCTGTTGAATGTGGCTCGGTGTTTCTGTTTATAACCGAAGATCAGCAGATAACATCCAGCACGGTTCGATGGTATATATGGGGAGGCTATATCACAAATCCTAAGCAAAACTCTAAAGAAACAAACAAACAAAAAACGCCTAAACTCTGGGATCCCCATAACGATCACGGACCATGATTTGGATACAAAAGATCACAGGGGTTTGTTTAGCTCTGTTCAAAGCCTATTGTGCACAGTACACAGTTTGTACATGCTTGAATTGTAAAAGTATTTATAATTGCGATGGATATGTTTTCCGAACAGCTGACAAATATTTAATCCTTTTAATGCAACAGTAATAGTGATCGTATTGACAACTGCCAATTGTATGGTTTAGTATATTATCGGGTTTCTAACAGTGTTAGCTAGTGCTCCTCCTCCTCCAAAGAAATCCAAGGTTAGCAGTTCCCGAGCTAATGCTGCAGATCCAAAACACCGGCAACCACGCATACGTAGATGTATGGTGGGCAATAGTGTCAGGTTAACAACAAAGAACTGAACTACTCAAAATACACAACAAGCCCGGTCCACAGAGTCGGAAACGAAAGTGAAAGCAACAGGGCTGGAGTCGTCAAGAAATAATAAAACTGAGCCATTTTGCCAACATACAAATGGTGTTTGAATCATGGGTTTTACTTGTATTATTTATAGAAGAGGATTTGCCACGTGAAGAACGTGTAATATTAGTAACTTATTCCAGGGCTTTTCCGACATAAGATAGCAGCATATGTAGGTGGAGCCTTCGACACTACCTGCGAGAAACCCACGGTGAAGAACACTTTAACATTGCAGCAAATGTAAGTGTACAATTTGTCCCAAATATTGCGTGATTTGTCATTATAACAGCCAATAATGTGTTGAATTCTTTATACGTTTTAAACACTTTGGACACTTGTTTTTTTACGGGTTAGTGTAGTGAATGTTTCTAAATTATGCTAATGTGTATAAGATTTCATTATGTACTAGCATATAAGTGAAACCTTACTCATTTTGAAAAAAACCCAGTCGTCATTTGTGTTTTCTATTTACAGAGTTGTCCTTCTTTTGTGCCAAACACAGTCATGTCGAAAACGGCCCTTGTTCTATGTCTACTTCTCGTCAGCTCACTGGTTGTCAATACCAGAGGTGAGATGTCATCACTTATATCATAGCTATAGTTGGAATCAAGCAATGTGCTCTTCCTTTACTAGAGGTTACTTATGATTATTGTAATAGTTTTTGCCCTTTGTGTATAATAAAGTAATTCCATATCATTATGGAAAGAAATCAGAGAGTTCACAATTTTTCATTTACTTTGTATAGGCCTGGGGGTTAAAATGTTCCATAATACTGGGCTTTTTACGACAAAAATAAATTGCCCAAGACGATTCTTGAAAAAAATAATTATGTTTCAGACCAAGCAGTTGGTTATGCAGTTGTTTCTTGAATAAAAAAAGAATAACATATCGTCAGTCCCTTAGACATAATATGATGTCCTTGCATGTAGCGTATAAGATTATTCTCACAAAAAGATGTTTTTGTCCTTAGCGTAGATGTAGCTGCTGCATTACAAATGATGTTTTTCAGGAAGGAACAGAAAGAACAAAGCGGGTACAAATGTAGCAAGCAGAGAGTATTCATTGACAGAGCTGGCGGCAAGGGCAGCGGCAGGATATATCGGTATGTGATTGGATTGATATTAGTCATTATATGCCGAGTGTTTAAATGTCTTCATTGAAGCATTTTCACCCGTTTTGTTTTACTTTGTACACATTAGGTTTAACTAGTAGCCATAGTTTCAACGGAAATGATTTTCAGCCTAACAGCCCGTCATCGGTGACAGCATGTAGGGTTAAGTGGCATTGCGGTAAGGACGTTCCCTTCTCCACACAAGTGTCAGTTTGTGAGAGGAAAGCAGGTGTGAGACGTTAAGTGTACTCTAGGTTGCAATAGTTTGTGTGATAAAACCGTTAATTTTAATACTTCATGCTATCGGTTGGATAATTATATTCACTGTACACTGTTCTGCACATGTTTGAATCGTCAGTGGATTTCAACGAGGATCGCGTGTACGGTTATGTGGTACAGAATTTATACAAAAGTATCATTTGTTCAGCCATCTATTCATCGGGGGTAGCATTATGATAATATTAATTTTCTTTTTAAAGTCAATGTCCAAATGTCTCTAAACTGTTGATAGATCGAGGGTATCCACAATTTTCTTTGTATCTTTATAATAACATAACAGTGTATAGTTTTAATACCTTCATATTATTAAAGAAGAGATATTCTTTCCAAACAGGTGATGCTTTGAAGTCGGCAGTCAACGACTACTTTCCAAACAGCTGTTCAGGGCAAGATTGCCATGATAAAAGAAGAAAGAAACATTCACATGGACCGTGACTGTGAATAAAGATATCAAATTAAGCGTTTGTGGTGTAATTCATAACGATGAGACCGGAGAGACGGAATAACCTCCACCAATCACTGAACGGAGCTCAGTCGCAATGTGAATCTATGAAACATGTTACTGTATGCGGGGACAACAGCAATGGTTATAGATATTACAGTTTTCTCTACACTCCAACAACACATTGTAACTACGAACTATGTATTTGAGATTTGTCTGTGTTAATGTCCTAGTACCATTTATAGGCGAGTATATTTACAAAACACGGATTTGTATCTATCTATCTGTGAATTCCATATACTTCAAACTTAAGTTACAACTTACGATAAAACGGATCGTTGATCGTTGTTTACGGCACAATCAACTGCGATTCGATGACGGCCTGTAAAAAATCGAGTCTGGGTCAGAAAAACCAGTGATTGAAATTACGAGCAACGTTCAACGCCTTCGGAGGCGCCTACGACAACGACATAGATTGGTGGGTGCTTATTGTATCCTTCAATCCCCACGGTGATTCGTATTTTAACAATAATGATATGGTAGGGTAGGGTAATTTTCGCTAACACCTGGTGTCATCACTGATCCATTCATATAATTTACCTTTTGCCTTTTACCCCCAATGAAATCTGTTTCGGCGGATACATATATTATCTAAGTAAAGAGGTTGCTGTTGAACAACGATAGTATATGCAAATAACTGGACATACTGTAATAGTCAGATGGTGAAAAGCGAATTTCCTAAATCCCGTGGGAATGAACGTGAATCTAAATCCAATTTTCTCTCTCTCTCTCTCTCTCTCTCTCTCTCTCTATTTCTCTCTCTCTCTCTCTTTCTCTCTCTCTCTCTCTCTCTCTCTCTCGTTTTATTGCAATATGGATCTTGATTATCGATCAGAACGTCTTGTAATATGAGTGATAGAATCTGATTGATAAAGAGGAGGAACATAGAAGGGTCATAACAAAATAGCCACTGGTGGCGTTACGATCTAGGTCACCCGAGTTGATAGACGTATATTGATGGGTCATTTGTGAAGAAACGTAGATGGCAAATGTAGGGAATTAAGGAATGTAGGGAAATATCTTTTTTCATTTGAGTGCTCTTTAACGATTATAAATTACGTTTGTGACTGTTATGCTTCAAAAATGGACAAAAAAGGCAAAACAATTATTACAAAGCTGATCGCCCGAATATTTGAGAAAACGAACGCGCGATCAAGCTGATCAAGGTTGGACCGAGCAACATAACATAAGGTAGTTCGGGGACTATTATGACTGCAAAGAAACCACCTAATGTATTATGTTATGAGTTCTAACCGCAATATTATCTTCTTTTGACAGCTTAATTGATTTACTTGAGTTTATAGCAGGGGCCCTCATATTTGTGTGGCAGTCCGATACGTGGGTGTTGCCGATACTATTTTTAGACATCCTTTCAAATGTCGCCAGCTGGTGCACTGGCTGGAGGTGAAGGGCAACCCTATTGAGAACTGAGTAGTTCCGGATCTCAATTTTGTTTCTGCAGATTGAGAAAAAACCCATTGAGCCCTGATTCAACGGTAGCCAATCAAAATCGCGGAAAATAGGATAATACACATATTGTGTACATGTAATTATTACTTTGAAAATCAGCTCCAAAAGAATTTGAAAAATGCGACAACACCCTTTTTCATATTCATACGAATATATTTCGATTGAACGCTACCATTTACATTGTGAGCAAGTGTTTATGAAGTGTACGAGAATACTAGATTTGGGCAAAAATGCCGCCGTCTCGCGATCTTACGTTCTCGTGTTTTTATCAATTCTACCTTTTCTCAAAACTTTTGAACCAGAAAATGCGGAATTTGAACATTTAACATTGTGACAACATTGAACAATATCGTATTGTACCTTCATACAATATTCAATTGAAATACTACAATCGAATGCCGGCGCATGTTTCAACACGCAGATCGATTTCTGAGAACTCTTTGCTGTATTACAGTGAATTTTGTCTACTTTCACTTTCGGTTTCGCAATAGAAAGTTGTATCAAGAGATGTCAGGAATATGTTAGCATACAACATCTACACATGTCATACAACGAGACCATCATGGCTGAAAAGGGTGCTCACAGTTGACTAGGGGTAGAAGACCCCTCGGGGACGTCCCATTGCTGTCCGTGCCACGTCATGGCTATTTTCGTGGAGCTATTTTCATCTGGAAAAACAACTTGATGTCCACAATTAAGGCGACAAAATCTTACATTTATTGACGTTTAAAGGAGCCAGAGAAAACATTTATCGCATGTTTTTATACCATAAATGAGTGAATAGTCCAGGGTAATACTGTTCGATTGATTAGATCTTGACAACTCGGAATTAGATTAATAAACGTTAATCATCTTGCAATACCTATCTGTTGAATACGGTTCAGTGTGACTGTATATAATGTTGCACCAGTGTATCATTAGTAGCGCGGTCCGATGGTATGGGGGGCTAATCACGAAGCCTAAGCAAAACAAAAATCAACAAAACCGCCCAAACTCTGTGATCCCCATACCGATCATTGACCACGTTTTTAATATAAAACAGGAAAATATGTTTGATTTGAAGAATTAAGCACTGGTCATCATGGACTAAGGAAAATAACTATGTCATCCATCCCACTCGTCCAGTGACAGTGGCCAGTAATTAAGAATGCCTCCCACAACTGTTGGCACATTCCTCCAAATAAGAGCTTGGCTGATTTATTTAGTTCCTGAAATTGAGGCATCCTGAGGGTTCCTTAAATACTCGTAGGTTTAACCTGAAGCATAATTTTATTTCATGGACTATATATTTGTCTGTTGTGCTAAGCAAACGCCGCCTGTTCAAGTACTCATGTTGTTTAATGTGACTGGCATGTTGTGAGAACCCAATGTTTTGAATGTGACTTGCAGGTTGTGAGTACACATGTTGTTAAACGTGACTGGCATGTTGTGAGAACCCAATGTTGTTGAATGTGACTTGCAGGTTGTGAGTACACATGTTGTTGAATGTGACTAGCAGGTTGTGAGAACCTAATGTTGTTGAATGTGACTTGCAGGTTGTGAGTACACATGTTGTTGAATGTGACTGGCATAGTGTGAGAACCCAATGTTGTTGAATGTGACTTGCAGGTTGTGAGTACAAATGTTGTTAAATGTGACTGGCAGGTTGTGAGTACCCAATGTTACCAAAATTGACTGGCATGTTGTGGGTACCCTATGGTGTTGAATGTGGCTGTGGCGGGTGTGCAAGTACCCCCATGTTGTTGTATGTGACTGTTGCAGGTTGTGAGTACCCTATGGTGTTGACTGTGACTGTGACTTGTTGGCGAATGTCATCGTATCCCAATTTCGTGGACAAATGTCCATGTAATCAATCACTTGATGGTCTGGTTCAGACTCGATTATTTACAGACCGTCATTTAGATTAAATATTGCTGAATTTCTAAACAACAAACAGACACACATAACATTATTTTGCCATATATTCTTTCACCAGGATCGATACACGAGTGTGTGCCTTTGGGTTTAACGCTGCTTTTAAAAGGCATTTTAGTTTTATCACCGCGTATTAGCTTCATGTGCGAGGAAAGCGATGCTGAGACATTTTCCACTTTGATGATACCTAGGACGAATTATAATTCATCCAACGATGGCAAAGGAATATGTTGAAGTTGATCATCAAACATGATTGAATATGTTCCAATGATTTAATTCATTGTATTAGTATGTTGTGATTTAACGGACCTGTACTTACAAGGAACATATTTATGTAATTTATGGAATCTAATCCTTTTTGCATGTTTACATTGTTTACATAATATCTTTTAAAACCGGCCCTTTCGTTGTCTTTTTTTCCAGACATTATGTCTCTCTCCGATTCTCGAGCGCTCGTGGTATGTTACCTGCTCCTTATCATCTCCGCGGGTGTCGGTGCCAGAGGTGAGTGAACCTCCATATTACCTTTCATGTTCCGGTATGAACAAGCTCCGTCAAAAGCTACACCTTGGAAGTAGTATCGGTATTTCAGTTTCTCTGCGTCACAAGTTAATGTATTGTGATCTTAGAAGATACCTAGCACATCGGTTGATCCCACATAGGTCATGTGACATAAGTATCCCCTCTGTAGCCGCAATTCGTTTTCTCGGTCGAGACGTCAGACACGTCTTTCTTTGTAGGACCCTTGAAGATCCGGGGTAGAATAGGTCTTCAGCATCCCATGCTTGCCGTAAAAGGTGACTATGCTTGTCGTAAAAGGCGACTAACGGGATCGGGTGGTCAGGTTCGCTTGACTTGGTTCATGCATGTCATCGATCCCAATTGCGTGGATCGATGCTCATGATATTAATCACTGGATTGTCTGGTCTAGACTCGATTATTTACAGACCGCCATCATATAGCTGGAATATTGCTGAGTGCGGCGTTAAACAACAATCCAATCCAATCCAATCCAATCTTTCTTTGTAGACCACCTATATAGCCCTTGGGATGTTTACTTTACATTTAAATGGATGACATTGAAGGTGTAAGGGAAGTCCGTGAATATAATATGATTGGGAGTTGACGAATGTCAATGTACATGATCGCCAGAGTAGGATCTCAAAATTCTTACTTACATTGCAGAAAAGAATTTTGAATTAGAACCATAATTCATGAAAGATGTGCATGTATAATTTCAGATGACGATGACGATGGGTTTTGGAGCTACCCATTGTTTTGGGTTCCTGCCGTTGTGGGTGGTGCAGTAGCAGGTGTGGCACTGGCACCAGTTGCACTGACGGCTGGACTGGCAGGAATGGTGTGCACAGCGATATGGATGACAGCGGGCTCTGCGGCAGCGGGTGCCATGTCAGCAGCGACAACGACGGGAGTTGGCGCGAGTCTCGTTGGTTTGGCAACGTCTGTAGGTACGTTTGTTCGATGTATCAGTGGAGTAGGAGTGTTGTCTGTTGCTTTGAACAAAGCATTGAGTCTATTACGTATAGCTAATTAATGAGCCTATGAAATATGTTACAATTATCGAACAGGTGTGCAAACTAGCGATCGTACCATTTTTACGTTTTAACTTCATCACTGATTTACCCACGGTCTTAATAATAAAAAAGTTTTAGCCCTTGATACAATTGATGTGAGCATTTGTTGACTAATCTTTGTTTTTTCGTTGACCACACTCTTGTCATTATGTTTTCACAGACTGGATTAAATGGTCAGATTCTTTGCATGTATTAGTTTCTTTATCACTTAAATAATTCGTATTTTCTTAAAGGGACAGTGGGGTAGCCTAGAGGTTAAAACATCTGAATTCTATTCCTCACACGGGTACAATATGTGAAGCCCATTCCTGGTGTCCCCCAAGGTGATACAGATATAATATTGCTGAAGGCTCGGTACATGACTACTGACAGTCTAATACTTGAAACAATAATATACATCGGTTACCAATAATCAACTATCATCTTGCATCTTATGATTTTGTTTTCTCACAGGGGCCGCTGGCGTAGCTGTGGGCACAAAGGTAGCATTTGGCGCGGCCGAGCAGCCGTAGGCTACGCCGCTAGCTCTCCCTCGGGAGAAGAACGAAAAACAAAATAAACGAATATAAACTGACGATATCAGCTGCTTGCTAGGCGCAAATACACTTCCTGGTGGCCCAAAATCAACCAAATTCAACCAACTACTTGTCAAGGATTTCAAAACCTAAGCGCTTGTGATCATATCATGGTCTCATGCAGTTAAACCCCTCACACCATGCATGGCAACATAACCAACTGTCCTGATACTTCAAGAGCTTGATATTTGTAAATATTGTGATAATTATGGTAAAACGATAGTACCGTCTCTGTCACATGTGGAATAGTAACCCTGTGTAAAACATATATATGAACATGTTTGGCATTCATCATGAAATAATTATTCAGAAACTGAAGTATCAATCATATATTGATAATCGATGTTTTGCTGAACAATCGCCAACCATGTATGCTTATCCACAATAAAGCAGTTGACATCCCTACAAAGCTTTGTTCTTGTGTACACCACTTCTTAATCCTTATAAAAAACTTCTTAGTTCATAGTGAAAGTTATTCATAGACACATGCTTATGATATGGTTAGGATGGCAAAATGAGCTCTCCTTTTAGCAGAGATGCTCATGATTATCGCAATGGTTCTGTCGTTTTATTTTTACTTATGTCACAAAATGTAGTTTGTATCCCAATCGAGCGGGTTCCTACATCAGCTCTCAAACATTTGAACCCTTGATTCTCATTGAAAGTGAACACCTTTCTATCTAATGGTACATGAGGTGGTTATGATGAAGACGACACATTCTGTATCAATTCAAAGTTTTCTGGTTCAGTTGCAAGGAGGAGTTTGTTTGTTTGTTTGTGGTTTAACTCAGCAACATTCCAGCTGTATGACGACGGTCTGTAAATAATCGAGTCTCTACCAGACAATCCAGTGATTGACATCATGAGCATCGATCCACGCAATTGGGATACGATGACATGCATCAACCAAGTCACCGAGCCCGGCCACCCGTTAGTCCCCTCTTACGACAAGCATAGTCGCCTTTTACGGCAAGCATGGGTTGCTGAAGACCTATTCTACCCCGGACCATCACGGGTCGAAAGGAGGAGGTCACTATGAACATGTTTGCATATTGGCCGAGTAAATCAGGATATGAACAAAGTCCTTCAAGTTCTCACATGGGACTCTCTTCATGGATTAAAGCACGTAGTTGTATCAGCTTCAAGTCGTAGCAGTAAAAGATACGTATCTCTTGTCACCTACATAGGATCTGCAGGTAGCTTTGAGTGGATAGTTAGAAAGTGAAACTTACTAAAAACATTTTCTGTGGGTATTATGATATGATATGATATAAACCCCATGTTGAAATTCATTACAATGTTTTCTGTGTAAGTCAATACTGTTGTATGGTGACTTCAGGTGTGAGGTGAAATGGGGTTTAACGTCGTGTCCAAGATTATTGCACTTATATAGCGACGTTCATGTACGTGTGTGTGTTTGTGTGTCTGCTTGTATAAGTCCGGACTGATGCCGATTTATAGTGCTAGCTGACTGAGATACCATGCCGCAGTTTAACATGAATACCCCACTCAGACACAGTATACTGACTCCGAGCCGACCAGTGCTTGTTTTAGCCCCTTAATGCAGAGCGCCAGACAGGGTAACAACAAGTACCATTTGGTATCTTTTGGTATGACGCGGTCGGGGATCGAACCCCGGACCTTCCGCTCTTCGGGCGGACGCTCTACCAGTAGACCACGGAGGCGGTCTGTGAATTCAGAATTAGACTTAACAGTCGTGGGTGGGTAACTGATAAGTCACCCGAGTTGATAGACGTGTATTGTTGGGTCATTTGTGAAGAAACGTAGATGGCAAATGTAGGGAAATATCTTTTTTCATTTGAGTACTTTTTAACGATTATAAATTACGTTTGTGACTGTTATGCTTCAAAAATGGACAAAAAAGGCAAAACAATTATTACAAAGCTGATCGCCCGAATATTTGAGAAAACGAACGCGCGATCAAGCTGATCAAGGTTGGACCGAGCGACATAACATAAGGTAGTTCGGGGAATATTATGACTGCAAAGAAACCACCTATTGTATTATGTTATGAGTTCTAACCGCAACATTATCTTCTTTTGACAGCTTAATTGATTTACTTGAGTTTATAACAGGGGCCCTCATATTTGTGTGGCAGTCCGATACGTGGGTGTTGCCGATACTATTTTTAGACATTCTTTCGAATGTCGCCAGCTGGTGCACTGGCTGGAGGTGAAGGGCAACCCTATTGAGAAAGTAGTTCCGGATCTCAATTTTGTTTCTGCAGATAGAGAAAAATAACATTGAGCCCTGATTCAACGGTAGCCAATCAAAATCGCGGAAAATAGGATTATACACATATTGTGTACATGTAATTATTACTTTGAAAATCGGGGGGCACGGGTGGCCCAGTCGTCTAAGGCGCCGCGATTCGCTGTGCAGAGTTGCGTCCCTTGGGCACGCCAGAAACCTATGATTGTGGGTTCGAATCCCGGTTCGCCCCGCTTATGTTTCTAGGTTTGTCAGCACCATACCCGTGCTCTCGGGTTTCACCGAAGTGGTAAACGTCTGAGACCTGCATCACTTCGGGCTTTCCTCCCACATTAAGCTGACACGCCGTGATATGACTGGAATACTGTTAAACGCGGCGTTAAACCCACCTCACTCACTCACTCACTCACTTACTTTGAAAATTAGCTCCAAAAGAATTTGAAAAATGCGACAACACCCTTTTTCATATTCATACGAATATATTTCGATTGAACGCTACCAATTACATTGTGAGCATGTGTTTATGAAGTGTACGAGAATACTAGATTCGGGCAAAAATGTCGCCTTCTCGCGATCTTACGTTCTCGTGTTTTTGTCCATTTTACCTTTTCTCAAAACTGTTGAACCAGAAAATGCGGAATTTGAACATTTAATATTGTGATAACATTTAACAATATCGTATTGTACCTTCATACACTATTCCATTGAAATACTACAATCGAATGTCGGTGCATGTTTGACACGCAGATCGATTTCTGAGAACTCTCTGCTTTATTACAGTGAATTTTGTCTACTTTCACTTTCGGTTTCGCAATAGAAAGTTGTATCAAGAGATGTCAGGAATATCATGTATGTTAGTATACAACATCTACACCTGTCATACAACGAGACCATCACGGCTGAAAAGAGGCTCATAGTTGACTAGGGGTAGAAGACCCTCGGGGACGTCCCATTGCTGTCCGTGACAGGTCATGGCTATATTCGTGGAGCTATTTTCATCTGGAAAAACAACTTGATGTCCACAATTAAGGCAACAAAATCTTACATTTATTGACGTTTAAAGGAGCCAGAGAAAACATTTATCGCATGTTTTTATACCATAAATGTGTGAATAGTCCAGGGTAACACTGTTCGATTGATTAGATCTTGACAACTCGGAATTAGATTAATAAAAGTTAATCGTCTTGCAATACCTATCTGTTGAATACGGTTGAGTGTGACTGTATATAATGTTGCACCAGTGTATCATTTGTAGTGCGGTCCGATGGTATGGGGGGCTAATCACGAAGCCTAAGCAAAACAAAACTCAACAAAACTCTTATAACAAAACCGCCCAAACTCTGTGATCCCCATACCGATCAATGACCACGCTTTTAATATAAAACAGGAAAATATTTTTGATTTAAAGAATTAAGCACTGGTCATCATGGACTAAGGAAAAGAACTATGCCATCCATCCCTCTCGTCCAGTGACAGTGGCCAGTAATTAAGAATGCCTCCCACAACTGTTTGCACATTCCTCCAAATAAGAGCTTGGCTGATTTATCTAGATCCTGAAATTGAGGCATCATGAGGGTTCCTTAAATACTCGTAGGTTTAACCTGAAGCATAATTTTATTTCATAGACTATATGTTTGTCTGTTGTGCTCAGCAAACGCCGCCTGTTCAAGTACTCATGTTGTTTAATGTGACTGGCATGTTGTGAGAACCCAATGTTTTGAATGTGACTTACAGGTTGTGAGTACCCCATGTTACCGAATTTGACTGGGAGGTTGTGGCTACCCTATGTTGTTGAATGTGGCTGTGACAGGTGTGTAAGTACCCCATGTTGTTGACTGTGACTGTGGCAGGTTGTGAGTACTCCATCTTAATTAATATGACTGTGACGTGTGTGTGAGTACCCTTGTTGTTGAATGTGCATGTAGCAGGAACTGAGTACCCATTCTTCTCGAATGTGAGTGTGGGAGGTTGTGGGTATCCTATTGCGTTGAATGTAACTGTAGCAGGAACTGAGTCCCCATTGTCACTGTGGGAGGTTGTGGGTGTTCCATGTTATTGAATGTGACCGTAGCAGGATCTGAGTACCCAATCTGACTGTGGCAGGTTGTGGGTATCTTATTGCGTTGAATGTAACTGTAGCAGGATCTGAGTACCCAATGTGACTGTGGGAGGTTGTGGGTATCCTATGGCGTTGAATGTGACTGTAGCAGGAACTGAGTACCCAATGTGACTTAGGGAGGTTGTGGGTGTTCCATGCGGTTGAATGTGACTATGATAGGCTGAGGGTACTCTATGTTGTTGAATGTAACGAGGCAGGTGTGTGGCTACTTTTGATACTTTTCGATATCCCATATTGGTAAAAACTTTACCAAGACAGGTTCAAGCTATCCCATATTCGTAAAACTTTACCAAGACAGGTTTAAGGTATCCCATATTGATAAAAACCTTACCAGGACAGGTTCAAGGTATCCCATATTGGTAAAAACCTTACCAGGACAGGTTCAAGGTATCCCAAATTTGGGGTAAGACAGGTTCACGGAATCCCATTCTTGGGTTAGAGATGACAAATGTAGCAAGCAGAGAGTATTCATTGTCAGTGAGTGAGTGAGTGAGTGAGTGAGTGAGTGAGTTGGGTTTAACGCCGCTTTTAACAGTATTCCAGTCATATCACGGCGTGTCAGCATAATGTGGGAGGAAAGCCCGAAGTGATGCAGGTCTCGGACGTTTACCACTTCGGTGAAACCCACGAGCACGGATATGGTGCTGACAAACCTAGAAACATAATCGGGGCGAACCGGGATTCGAACCCACAATCATAGGTTTCTGGCGTGCCCAAGGGACGCAATTCTGCACAGCGAATGGCGGCGCCTTAGACGACTGGGTCACCCGTGCCCCCTATTCATTGTCAGAGCTGGCGGCAAAGGCAGCGGCAGGATATATCGGTATGTGATTTATTGATATTAGTCATTATATGCCGAGTGTTCAAATGTCTTCATTGAAAGCATTTTAACCCGTTTTGTTTTACTTTGTACACATTGGGTTTAACTAGTAGCCATAGTTTCAACTGAAATGATTTTCAGCCTAACAGCCCGTCATCGGTGATAGCATGTAGGGTTAAGCTGTATTGGGTAAGGTCGTTCCCTTCTCCACACAAGTGTCAGTTTGTGAGAGGAAAGCAGGTGTGAGACGTTTAATATACCTCAGGTTGCAATAGTTTGTGTGATGATACCGTTAATTTTAATACCTCATGCTATCGGTTGGATAATTATATTCACTGTAAATTGTTTTGCACATGTTTGAATCGTCAGCTGATGTTTAACGATGATCGCGTGTACGGTTATGAGGTACAGGGTTTATACAAAAGTATCATTTGTTCAGCCATCTATTCATCGTGAGTAGCTGTAGGATAACATTCATTTTCTTTTTAAAGTCAATGTCCAAATGTCTCTAAACTGTTGATAGATCGAGGGTATCCACAATTTTCTTTTTATCTTTATAATAACATAACAGTGTATAGTTGTAATACCTTTATATTATTAAATGCTTTACTTATAAGTAGATATTCTTTCCAAACAGGTGATGCTTTGAAGTCGGCAGTCAACGACAACTTTCAAAACATCTGTTCAGGGCAAGATTGCCTTGATAAAAGAAGAAAGAAAAAAGAACATGGACCGTGACTGTGAATAAAGATATCGAATTAAGCGCTTGTGGTGTAATTCATAACGATGAGAACTTCCATAACACTTACCATTCGCCATGTTTATGTCATAGTATGCGGACCGCCTCCGTGGTCTAGTGGTAGAGCGTCCGCCCGGAGAGTGGAAGGTGCGGGGTTCGATCTTGGACACGACGTTAAACCCAATTTCACCTCACCTCACCTCACCTCACACATAGTATACGTCAACGCGAAACGGAGAGACGGAATAACCTCGACCAATCACTGGACGGAGCTCAGTCGCATTGTGAATCTATGAAACATCTTACTGTGTGCGGGGACAACGGCAGTGGTTATAGATATTACAGTTTTCTCTACACTCTAACAACACACTGAAACTACGAAATACGTATTTGAGATCTGTCTGTGTTAATGTCCTAGTACCATTTATAGGCGAGTATATTTTCAAAATAACGGATCTGAATTCTTTTTATCTTTGGCCACATTGACTTTTACAATTTCCTCGTATCTATTTGTGAATTCCATATACTTTAAACGTAAGTTACAACTTAGGATAATACGGATCGTTGATCATTGTTTCACGCCACAGTCAACCGCTATTCGATGACGGCCTGTAAATAATCGAGTCTGGGTCAGAAAAAACAGTGATTGAAATTACGAGCAACGAGTCTATGCGCAGGATAGTGAATGTTCGTAACTTTCGTCACTTTTATACATCATACAATCTGTGACACGTACAATAATTATCTTCTTGTACTTATTTAGACGGGCCGACCTGGTCATAATAATCAATATTCCGGTCTGCGAGATTCTAACCGTTGCTAATCACGAAGCGCAGGACACACTCTCCGGCTCGACACATCGAAACTATCTGCAAACAGATCGACTCCCATTTACTGTAAACAAGTTGTAATCGTAGTGTAGACTTATCGTGACGTCACCATGATATGCGGAGGTGTGGCTATATAGACGTATCTTGATTACCGAACTCCAGACTTTTTTCAAAGGACTGCTCAGCCATGTTAATCAATAACCGTTATACATAAACGGATATTACTTCCCTATGTTTTTACAGACCTGATCAAGAAAATATAACATTCTTACCAAAAGCCGACACACGTTTACGTGCTCTTTCAGTGAAAATGTTTCCCCTTTATTCAACAGTAAACTATTCGTATTAAAGTTGATAAATATTTAATTGTTACTCCATTCAATTGCGTCCTTGGTGAATGACTATATTCCTCAGCCTTTGAGATGGTATCACGGATTTTTCGAATCCCAATGGCAGCTAGTTTTAAAGGAAATAATAGGAAAACGTCTTGGAAGATCCTGCATTGAACTTTCATTGAAAACAACACACACAATTTTACTGAAAAAAGTAAGTGTTTGTTGCCAACCGCCGCACAGCAGTAATCCCGCCATGCGATGGCGGCTTGTAAACAAACCAGGTGATCAATTGATTCCATTGAACAGTTTTTAACCAAAACGTAGCACATGTTCAACGAAACGACACCGAATGTAGAACGGATTCGTGTGGATATATACAGTTATACTATATTCCACGTGGCGGCTGACGTCATGGTTTTATTAACAAGCTTATAAAAGCGAAGCGCTCGACAACCATTTGCAACACACAGAAAAGAAGTTGGAGACACAAGACTGTACAGTGACAGGTAGGACAAATCAACATTCATTTAGAAGATAAATACCATGTGTGTGTCTATTTCCGGGATTTTATCGAGTAATTGCATCTTGGAAATTCATCTCGAGACCCGAAAGCGTTAGCTTGAGGGGCTCGAATGAAAATTTCCAAGATGCAAATACTCGATAAAATCCCGGAAATAGACACACACATAGTATTTATCGATATTGTAAACATATTGTTTTATTTAGAAAAAAACATGCGCACTCTTTAACACCTCGTACTTACTCGGTTGTGAGGCGTCAACATCGAACGTTCTGTCGCTGCTATGGTGATTTTGGTAATAATTACGTACACCGGTAATGAGACGCAAATACCATCACGTATATTTCAGCTGCGATACCTACATCCTTGAATTCCTCATACATTTTAGAATCAAATGCCAAATGGTCTTTGTCACCTATACAAATTGTCTAGATGTAATGAAGCAAAATAAATGAGGTGTGAAAACGAACGCTGAAAAAACTGCACTTGTTGGAAATGTAAACGAAGCCATTCGTCTATTCGTTGAGTACATTGGCTCGAGATCTGCATTTTCAGATTATACACGGGAAGAGAATCGTAGGAAGAATTGGGGAATTAAACATATATACATTGCAATAATTTGATATTTTCAACAGAACTTGTCGAAGTTCCCGTCCTGTGTGACGCTATGACTGACGCAAAATCACGCACGACAACGGTATTTATCAGAATTTCTGACTTTTTTCGTTGGTTTCAATGAAAAATACCACAACAAAAAACAGTACACAGATTGTCAGAATGTTTCTGATTACTTACATGTCACATATATGTATATACGAACCCTGAATCAACGAAAGTCCCCTCGTAAAATCCCGCGCACTGTTGACAGTCAACACGCCATTTTGTAAAATTCGGTCACCGGTAGTGATGTCAAACTTCAACATATTTGTTGTACATATTTGGTAATTTCTCTGAGGTGAAGGTCCTTGAATGAAAGTACACACGATCATTGTTAACTGATTTTTACTGTTTCATGATGTAGATCTTGCATATCTTTTGTACATTTTTTTCACACAATTAATTTCACTTTGGATATAATCAATGTTCAATATGATATCATACGTAGATATAGGCCACAACATATATGAACGTTTGATAATCTCCTGTTTGTTTGAACAATGTTCACATTTGAAGTTGATAAGTTTATATAGTGTCGTATACGATATTTCTTTAATTTGAACAAGTGTACATGTGACAGGTACATTTACATTTCATCTTGTATGTATTTCTAGGGAGTGTAATAGTCAATATTATAAGTTCATATAAATAGTGTCCATGAATAGCCGTTTCATTTTATTTTATAACTAAAACTGACGATATAACTTAACCAAAATCGATATTATTTTTCGTTAAATTATATGCACACATTTCTTGAAGAATTGGCTTGGTCTTGGATTTTTTTTATGCCGTTTGATATACAGAACAGTGATATCTCAGGATTCGCCAGGAGCGCGTTTGTCGCTATGGTGATTGTGATTTTGGTAATTATTTCATTGTAATTTTTTTTAATTAAAAATTTAAAATCCCAATAATTCCCATGAATGGAGAAAATCAAAATATTTGTTATGAATTTTGTATTTCAATTTGCGTCCATTGTTAATTAGTATGCAAAAAATCCTGAGTAATTATGTATTCCAACACAGTGATTCGGTCGCTTGCTTCAGGGAATTCAAATCATATTTTCACCCTCTGACATTTGGTCATGTGACCCAAATTAGCCAATCACAACACAGAACACACTTTCTATAGGTTTACAATCTTCAATAATGTGTTAATGAAACCGCAGGAATTCGAAACTGTACACAAATAAACATACTTTTGCTTGACCCATGTATCCCGGGATAAGCGGATACATGGCTCAGTACAAATGTTTATTTGTCAAATAGGAATTTGTGATGAAACCTACCCATAGAAATCTTGTTTTTCCAGTGTAATATCGCATTTCTTAAAAATGCCTCATAAAATTCCGGCTTGCAATTAGACTAAAATGAGTCTTTAAAACGGACTCTTTTCTTGCGCACGTATTCAGCGAAGTGATGCGGCCGGAATGCAGTTGACTCTCAGTTTAAAATTCAGATGACAAATGGATCTAGTTTTGCATAGCAAGATCTGCATAAGCCCATCTTCCCTACATTCATATAGAATCAACCCTGACATACACCACGTGACATTATAAATAAGTATGGTGACAGTGCTTAATTACTTCATATTCTACTGTTGAAACCTTAGGGTCGCACCCTTGAAATTCTTAAACCCCTCTATCGTTGATTTCTTAGGAATATTAAACAATGAAAATTAACCAATCAAAGGAGATCTTCTTTTAATGGCATGATAGACTTGGTCGAAGGAGACGACTGACGGGATCGGGTGGTCAGGCTCGCTGACTTGTCGGCAAATGTCATCGTATCCCAATTTCGTGGACAAATGTCCATGAAATCAATCACTGGATGGTCTGGTTCAGACTCGATTATTTACAGACCGTCATGTAGATTAAATATTGCTGAATTTCTAAACAACAAACAGACACACATAACATTATTTTGCCATATATTCTTTCACCGGGATCGATACATGAGTGTGTGCGTTTGGTTTTAACGCTGCTTTTAAAAGGCATTTTAGTTTTATCACCGCGTATTAGCTTCATGTGCGAGGAAAGCGATGCTGAGACATTTTCCACTTTGATGATACCTAGGACGAATTATAATTCATCCAACGATGGCAAAGGAATATGTTGAAGTTGATCAACAAACATGATTGAATATGTTCCAGAAATTTATTTCATTTTATTAGTATGTTGTGATTTAACGGACCTGTACTTACAAAGAAAATATTTATGTAATTTATGGAATCTAATCCTTTTTGCATGTTTACATTGTTTACATAATATCTTTTAAAACCGGCCCTTTCGTTGTCTTTCCAGACATTATGTCTCTCTCCGATTCTCGAGCGCTCGTGGTATGTTACCTGCTCCTTATAATCTCCGCGGGTGTCGGTGCCAGAGGTGAGTGAACCTCCATATTACTTTTCATGTCCCCGGTATGAACAAGGTCATGTGTCATAAGTAGCCCCTCTGTAGCCGCAATTCGTTTTCTCGGTCGAAACGTCAGACACGTCTTTCTTTGTAGGACCCGTGAAGATCCGGGGTAGAATTGGTCTTCAGCAACCCATGCTTGCCGTAAAAGGTGACTATGCTTGTCGTAAGAGGCGACTGACAGGATCGGGTGGTCAGGCTCGCTTGACTTGGTTCATGCATGTCATTGCGTGGATCGATGCTCATGATATTAATCACTGGATTGTCTGGTCCAGACTCGATTATTTACAGACCGCCGTCATATAGCAGGAATATTGCTGAGTTAAACAACAATCCAATCCAATCCAATATTTTGGAATATTTGTTTTAATGATCGGAAATTTTAGACAAAGTAAGAGTTACTTTGTTCTTAGGGGGGAGGAATGTAGAAATATTGAAATTTCCTCTGATTATGTAGGATAGATGGTAGCATTTACGTGGTTAATAGCTCCTTACCGATATGTAGTTCGCTTGGGACAGCACGTTTCAGATCTTTCCCCACGTGCGGGCACGTGCGTTTGTCGGCTGCATGCCGATTTAATGTTTACAGTCGTGGGTCGTATGGTAAGAGCGCTCCGATTGGTTGGTGACAGACTGGATTAGCCAGTGGCTGCACCGTTTAGACGTGTTGACCCAGAGGTTACGTGTCCTTGCGAGTATATAAGAGATAGGCGCGAATGCTCTCATTGTCTTGCATGATCGGGAATATCATTACAGGTGAGGGAGACCACACCAAATTACCGTGTTCGGAGGACGAACATTTCCCCAATCCCTAGTGATTTTAGGCAATAAAGATCTAAATTATGTGGCAACTTTAGAATTACTGGGTAAATTGTTAGAAAGCTGGGTTGGACGGGTGGATTTAATCAGGAAATAATGTCAGCTATGTGATGTAGCTACATAGACCGATTGTGTTTGGAGGTTTGAAAGGGTGGTTTGTTTTCATAGACTGTGTTAAGGATGTTGTAGGGATTAAAGTGGGTTAGTGAGGGGTTTGCTTTAGGCTGCTTTTGAGTTTTATTTTGAGGGTATAAGTAAGCAGGATTTTTGAGTTAATAATGTAGATTTTAGTTAGGCATAGGATTGATTGATTTGTAATTGTTGTTGAGTTCGTATTTATATTTTGTTACAGTTGGGTTTTTTTCGTTTAGTTTATTTTTCTGTAATAAACTGTTGAAACTTGATTATATTTTGTTGTGAATCACCTCCCTACATCCAACGAACTGAGGTCGTAAAGGACAGACAGAGGGACCATAGACACTTTATTTTAGTATTTTCGGCATTAATATCTTCTGAATAAAAGAAACACAACGTAAAGTCATGGTGTCCTAAAGTGCCCAAAGCCTGTCCTGTTACACAAGGAACATATTTATGTAATTTATGGAATCTAATCCTTTTTGCATGTTTACATTGTTTACATAATATCTTTTAAAACTGGCCCTTTCGTTGTCTGTTTTTCCAGACATTATGTCTCTCTCCGATTCTCGAGCGCTCGTGGTATGTAACCTGCTCCTTATCATCTCAGCGGGTGTCGGTGCCAGAGGTGAGTGAACCTCCATATTACTTTTCATGTTCTGGTATGAACAAGCTCCTTCAAAAGATACACCTTGGAAGTAGTATCGGTATTTCAGTTTCTCTGCGTCACAAGTGAATATATTGTGATCTTAGAAGATACCTAGCACATCGGTTGATCCCACATAGGTCATGTGACATAAGTAGCCCCTCTGTGTAGCCGCAATTCGTTTTCTCGGTCGAAACGTCAGACACGTCTTTCTTTGTAGGACCCGTGAAGATCCGGGGTAGAATAGGTCTTCAGCATCCCATGCTTGCCGTAAAAGGTGACCATGCTTGTCGTAAAAGGCGACTAACGGGATCGGGTGGTCAGGTTCGCTTGACTTGGTTCATGCATGTCATCGATCCCAATTGCATGGATCGATGCTCATGATATTAATCACTGGATTGTCTGGTCCAGACTCGATTAATTACAGACCGCCATCTTATAGCTGGAATATTGCTGAGTGCGGCGTTAAACAACAATCCAATCCAATCCAATCTTTCTTTGTAGACCACCTATATAGCCCTTGGGATGTTTACTTTACATTTAAATGGATGACATTGAAGGTGTAAGAGAAGTCCGTGAACATAATATGATTGGGAGTTGACGAATGTCAATGTACATGATCGCCAGAGTAGGATCTCAAAATTCTTACTTACATTGCGGGAAAGAATTTTGAATTAGAACCAAAATTCATGAAAGATGTGCATGTATTTCAGATGACAATGACGATGGGTTTTGGAGCTGCCCATTGTTTTGGGTTCCTGCTGTTGTGGGTGGTGCAGTCGCAGGTGTGGCACTGGCACCAGTTGCACTGACGGCTGGACTGGCAGGAATGGGGTTCACAGCGACAGGGATTACAGCGGGTTCTGCGGCAGCGGGTGCCATGTCAGCAGCGACAACGACGGGAGTTGGCGCGGGTCTCGTTGGTTTGGCACAGTCTGTAGGTACGTTTGTTCGATGTATCAGTGGAGTAGGAGTGTTGTCTGTTACTTTGAACAAAGCATTCAGTCTATTACGTATAGCTAATTAATGAGCCTATGAAATATGTTACAATTATCGAACAGGTGTGCAAACTAGCGATCGTACCATTTTTACGTTTTAACTTCATCACTGATTTACCCACGGTCTTAATAATAAAAAACTTTAGCCCTTGATACAATTGATGTGAGCATTTGTTGACTAATCTTTGTTTTTTCGTTGACCACACTCTTGTCATCATTTTTTCACAGGCTGGATTAAATGGTCAGATTCTTTGCATGTATTAGTTCCTTTATCACTTAAATAATTCGTATTTTCTTAAAGGGACAGTGGGGTAGCCTAGAGGTTAAAACGTCTGAATTCTATTCCTCACACGGGTACAATATGTGAAGCCCATTCCTGGTGTCCCCTAACGTGATACAGATATAATATTGCTGAAGGCTCGGTACATGACTACTGACAGTCTAATACTTGAAACAATAATATACATCAGTTACAAATAATCAACTATCATCTTGCATCGTATGATTTTGTTTTCTCACAGGGGCCGCTGGCGTAGTAGCTGTGGGCACGAAGGTAGCATTGGGCACGGCCGGGGCAGCCGTAGGCTACGCCGCTAGCTCTCCCTCGGGAGAAGAAGGGGGAAAAAAATAAACGAAAATAAACTGACGATATCAGCTGCTTGCTAGGCTCAAATACACTTCCTGGTGGCCCAAGATCAACCAAATTCAACCAACTACTTGTCAAGGATTTCAAAACCTAAACGCTTGTGATCATATCATGGTCTCATGCAGTTAAACCCCTAACGCCATGCATGGCAAAATAACCAACTGTCCTGATACTTCAAAAGCTTGATATTTGTAAATATTGTGATAATTATGGTAAAACGATAGTACCGTATCTGTCACATGTGGAATAGTAACCCTGTGTAAAACATATATATGAACATGTTTGGCATTCATCATGAAATAATTATTCAGAAACTGAAGTATCAATCATTTATTTATAATCGATGTTTTGCTGAACAATCGCCAACCATGTATGCTTATCCACAATAAAGCAGTTGACATCCTCAAAGCTTTGTTCTTGTGTACACCACTTCTAAATCCTTATAAAAAAACTTCTTAGTTCATAGTGAAAGTTATTCATAGACACATGCTTATGATATGGTTAGGATGGCATAATGAGCTCTCCTTTTAGCAGAGATGCTCATGATTATCGATCGCAATGGTTCTGTCGTTTATTTTTACTTATGTCACAAAATGTAGTTTGTATCCCAATCGAGCGGGTTCCTACATCAGTTCTCAAACATTTGAACCCTTGATTCTCATTGAAAGTAAAAACCTTTCTATCTAATGGTACATGTGGTGGTTATGATGAAGACGACACATTCTGTATCAATTCAAAGTTTTCTGGTTCACTGCAAGGAGGAGTTTGTTTGTTTGTTTGTTGTTTAACTCAGCAACATTCCAGCTGTATGACGACGGTCTGTAAATAATCGAGTCTGTACCAGACAATCCAGTGATTGACATCATGAGCATCGATCCACGCAATTGGGATACGATGACATGCATCAACCAAGTCAGAGAGCCCGACCACCCGTTAGTCGCTTCTTACGACAAGCATAGTCGCGTTTTACGGCAAGCATGGGTTGCTGAAGACCTTTTCTACCCCGGAACTTCACGGGTCGAAAGGAGGAGGTCACTATGAACTTGTTTGCATATTGGCCGAGTAAATCAGGATATGAACAAAGTCCTTCAAGTTCTCACATGGGACTCTCCTCATGGATTAAAGCACGTAGTTGTATCAGCTTCAAGTCGTAGCAGTAAAAGATACGTATGTCTTGTCACCTACATAGGATCTGCAGGTAGCTTTGGGTGGATAGTTAGAAAGTGAAACTTACTAAAAACATTTTCTGTGGGTATTATGATATGATATGATATGATATAAACCCCATGTTGAAATTCATTACAATGTTTTCTGTGTAAGTTCCATACTGTTGTATGGTGACTTCAGGTGTGAGGTGAAATGGGGTTTAACGTCGTGTCCAAGATTATTGCACTTATATAGCGACGTGCATGTACGTGTGTGTGTTTGTGTGTCTGCTTGTATAAGTCCGGACTGATGCCGATTTATAGTGCTAGCTGACTGAGATACCATGCCGCAGTTTAACATGAATACCCCCCTCAGACACATTATACTGACTCCGAGCCGACCAGTGCTTGTTTTAGCCCCTTAATGCAGAGCGCCAGACAGGGTAACAACAAGTACCATTTGGTATCTTTTGGTATGACGAACCCCGGACCTTCCGCTCTTCGGGCGGACGCTCTACCACTAGATCACGGAGGCGGTCTGTGACTTCAGAATTAGACTTAACAGTCGTGGGTGGTAACTGATAAGTCACCCGAGTTGATAGACGTGTATTGTTGGGTCATTTGTGAAGAAACGTAGATGGCAAACGTAGGGAAATATCTTTTTTTCATTTGAGTGCTTTTTAACGATTATAAATTACGTTTGTGACTGTTATGCTTCAAAAATGGGCAAAAAAAGGCAAAACAATTATTACAAAGCTGATCGCCCGAATATTTGAGAAAAAGCAAGCGCGATCAAGCTGATCAAGGATGGACCGAGCGACATAACCTAAGGTAGTTCGGGGAATATTATGACTGCAAAGAAACCACCTAATGTATTATGTTATTAGTTCTAACCGCAATATTATCTTCTTTTGACAGCTTAATTCATTTACTTGAGTTTATAACAGGGGCCCTCATATTTGTGTGCCAGTCCGATACGTGGGTGTTGCCGATACTATTTTTAGACATCCTTTCAAATGTCGCCAGCTGGTGCACTGGCTGGAGGTCAAGGGCAACCCTATTGAGAAAGTAGTTCCGGATCTCAATTTTGGTTTTGCAGATAGAGAAAAATAACATTGAGCCCTGATTCAACGGTAGCCAATCAAAATCGCGGAAAATAGGATTATACACATATTGTGTACATGTAATTATTACTTTGAAAATCAGCTCCAAAAGAATTTGAAAAATGCAACAACACCCTTTTTCATATTCATACGAATATATTTCGATCTAACGTTCTCGTGTTTTTGTCTATTTTACCTTTTCTCAAAACTTTTGAACCAGAAAATGCGGAATTTGAACATTTAACATTGTGATAACATTTAACAATATCGTATTGTACCTTCATACAATATTCCATTGAAATACTACAATCGAATGCCGGCGCATGTTTGACACGCAGATCGATTTCTGAGAACTCTCTGCTGTATTACAGTGAATTTTGTCTACTTTCACTTTCGGTTTCGCAATAGAATTGTATCAAGAGATGTCATTAATATGTTACCATACAACATCTACACCTGTCATACAACGAGACCATCACGGCTGAAAAGGGTGCTCACAGTTGACTAGGGGTAGAAGACCCCCGGGGACGTCCCATTGCTGTCCGTGCCACGTCATGGCTATATTCGTGGAGCTATTTTCATCTGGAAAAACAACTTGATGTCCACAGTTAAGGCAACAAAATCTTACATTTTTTGACGTTTAAAGGAGCCAGGGAAAACATTTATCGCATGTTCTTATACCATAAATGTGTGAATAGTCCAGGGTAACACTGTTCGATTGATTAGATCTTGACAACTCGGAATTAGATAAATAAACGTTAATCGTCTTGCAATACCTATCTGTTGAATACGGTTGAGTGTGACTGTATATAATGTTGCACCAGTGTATCATTTGTAGCGCGGTCCGATGGTATGGGGGGCTAATCACGAAGCCTAAGCAAAACAAACTCAACAAAACCGCCCAAACTCTGTGATCCCCATACCGATCATTGACCACGTTTTTAATATAAAACAGGAAAATATTTTTGATTTAAAGAATTAAGCACTGGTCATCATGGACTAAGGAAAAGAACTATGCCATCCATCCCACTCGTCCAGTGACAGTGGCCAGTAATTAAGAATGCCTCCCACAACTGTTTGCACATTCCTCCAAATAAGAGCTTGACTGATTTATTTAATTCCTGAAATTGAGGCATCATGAAGGTTCCTTAAATACTCGTAGGTTTAATCTGAAGCATAATTTTATTTCATGGACTATATGTTTGTCTGTTGTGCTCAGCAAACGCCGCCTGTTCAAGTACTCATGTTGTTGAATGTGACTTGCAGGTTGTGAGTACCCCATGTTACCGAATTTGACTGGCAGGTTGTGGCTACCCTATATTGTTAAATGTGGCTGTGACAGGTGTGTAAGTACCCCATGTTGTTGACTGTGAGTACCCAATCTTGATGAATGTGACTGTGGCGTGTGTGTGAGTACCCTTGTTATTGAATGTGGATGTAGCAGGTTCTGTGTACCCATTCTTCTCGAATGTGACTGTGGGAGGTTGTGGGAATCCTATGGCGTTGAATGTAACTGTAGCAGGAACTGAGTACCCATTGTGACTGTGGGAGGTTGTGGGAATCCTATGGCGTTGAATGTAACTGTAGCAGGAACTGAGTACCCATTGTGACTGTGGCAGGTTGTGGGTGTCTATGGCAGATGTGTTAGTACCCTGTTGTTGAATGTGACTATGACAGGCTGAGGGTACCCTATGTTGTTGAATGTAACGAGGCGGGTGTGTGGCTACTTTTGATACTTGTTAGGTCTCTGCGTTGTCCGTCCTTATTTCGCGCAACATCGATTACACAGCTGCGGCGAGGTGTCAGGAAGGAAGTCTTTCAAAATATCATCATGATGTCAATCTAACACGTAATGATTGCCCTAATTACACAAGGACATGGCCTTGGTTGTCCACCTGACACAGCACCGATGTCTGGACATCGATCGGTACAATGTTGTACTACATAGATATCATATAATACTTAGTCGTAAGTCACAAAGACATCCTACCAGTACGACTGTCGTAAGTCACAAAGACATCACACCAGTACGACTGTCGTAAGACACAAAGACATCACACCACTACCACTGTCGTAAGACACAAAGACATCACACCACTACGACTGTCGTAAGTCACAAAGACATCACACCACTACGACTGTCGTAAGACACAAAGACATCACACCACTACGACTGTCGTAAGACACAAAGACATCACACCACTACGACTGTCGTAAGACACAAAGACATCACACCACTACGACTGTCGTAAGACACAAAGACATCACACCACTACGACTGTCGTAAGACACAAAGACATCACACCACTACGACTGTCGTAAGACACAAAGACATCACACCACTACGACTGTCGTAAGACACAAAGACATCACACCACTACGACTGTCGTAAGTCACAAAGACATCACACCAGTTCGACTGTCGTAAGTCACAAAGACATCACACCACTACGACTGTCGTAAGTCACAAAGACATCACACCAGTACGACTGTCGTAAGTCACAAAGACATCACACCAGTTCGACTGTCGTAAGTCACAAAGACATCATACCACTACGACTGTCGTAAGTCACAAAGACATCACACCACCACGACTGTCGTAAGTCACAAAGACATCACACCACTACGACTGTCGTAAGTCACAAAGACATCACACCAGTTCGACTGTCGTAAGTCACAAAGACATCACACCACTACGACTGTCGTAAGTCACAAAGACATCACACCAGTACGACTGTCGTAAGTCACAAAGACATCACACCAGTTCGACTGTCGTAAGTCACAAAGACATCATACCACTACGACTGTCGTAAGTCACAAAGACATCACACCACCACGACTGTCGTAAGTCACAAAGACATCACACCACCACGACTGTCGTGAGTCACAAAGACATCACACCACTACGACTGTCGAAAGTCACAAAGACATCCCACCACTACGACTGTCGTAAGTCACAAAGACATCACACCACTACGACTGACGTAAGACACAAAGACATCACACCACTACGACTGTCGTAAGTCACAAAGACATCACACCACTACGACTGTCGTAAGTCACAAAGACATCACACCACTACGACTGTCGTAAGTCACAAAGACATCACGTACACCACCACAACTGTCGTCACAAAGACATCCCAACTACGTGGCA